CACACCCCCATAGGCAAAGTAGTGGGGGACAACAAGGGGTCACAAGACCAGTCAAGAAAAGCAAAGCAAGCTCAGGGTGGATCACGAAGTCACCACACACTCTGAGCACAAGCAAATGGAGGAGAACAAGGCAGCTCTCCCAAGTCGGTCAGCAGGTAGGTAAGCCAGCGTAACTCCTGTGCAGCCATGGCCCCTGCGTAGATCTCAGCCTCACAACTGGAACTGAGAACAGAAGACGAGCGGGTAGACCGCCAAGAAACAGAGCCGGAGCCAAGGCTGAAAGTGTAACCCTGTGACGACCGCTGCGTAGCCAAGTCGTCAACCCAAGAAGTGTCAGCGTGTCCAGTGAGGACAACTCGACCCCGTCCTCCAAGCACGAGCCCCATGCCCGATGTACTGCACAAGTAGCGCAACACCCTCTTAGCAGCCTCCTAGTGCTATGGTCGGTGTCTCCCGGGCGCAACGTAGCGTGCCAGGATGCTAAGAGGGTAGGCAAGGTCAGGTCGAGTGCAGGTCATCAGGTACATGAGGCAGTCCACAAGCTCTGGATACGGGCCACTCGGCTCTACGGACTCGTCCAAAGGTGGAGCTGAGAGCGAGTGACCGGTAGGCAGAGGAGTGGACTGTGGCGAGGAGTACGTGAAGCGGAAGCGCTGAAGGACCTGCTGCACCATGTGTGACTGAGTCAAGGTAATGGTGCGCCGTGCTCTGTCCCGTGTGATCTGCAAGCCAAGATACCTGCGCAGCTCACCCAGGTTTGTGCACGTGTGTCTCTTCTACAGCTCCGACTTCACTAGGGCCAGTCCCTCAGTGTCAGCAGTGGCAAAGACCAAGTCGTCGACGTACACGAGGATGTAGAACGGCGACAACGAAGTGTCGGTGCGTAGAAACAGCGACGGGTCAGCAGTAGAAGGAGCAAACCCAAGAGCCGCAAGCGTCGTCCTCAGTGTGTCGTGCCACTCGCGAGGCGCCTGGCGGAGACCGTAGACTGGCCGCCGGAGGCTCCACTGGGTACCTGCAGGAAACGACCCAGTGAAGCCCGGTGGACGGCGCAGCCAGATCTCGTCGTGCAGGCTGCCCTGTAAGAAAGCTGTGCTGAAGTCAAGAGAGTGAAGCTCGTAGTCACGCTGAGCGGCGACGTGCAGCAGCACCCGAAGAGTGGTCATCTTCGGGGTAGGGGAGAAGGTCTGGAAGAAGTCAACTCCCTCTCGCTGACTGAAGCCTCGTGCAACGTAACGCGCCTTGAAGACAGGCGGAGAACCCGGCGGCCGCTTCACCCTGAAAATCCACATGCCACCGACTATGTTCGCCCCAGGAGGGGGAACTGCGTCGACGTAAGTGCCTGTGGACTTCCAGGATGCCATCTCTGCGTCCATGGCTGTCTGCCACTGAGAGGAGTAGAGACCCGTAATCGCCTCTGCGTAAGAGCGCGGGGTCGGGATGTCTGGTGCATCCGGGTCTCCCTCATGTGCAATCAGCATGGACACGAGATGAGGTAAAGCAGTGGCAAAGCACTCAAACTCCTCCTGATTGTCCTCAAGGACGTCCGTGCCAAGAGCACACTCACCCCCGACGGACGGAGGACAGATAGACGCAGACTCAGACTCAGCAACAAGGCTAGCGGCGTAGTCTAGACGACAAGCGGCGGCAAAGTTAACAAGCTCAGCAACTAGGGCAGAAGCAGCAGTGGACTCGAACGAAGGGTCGGTTACAACAGTGGCTAGAAGACGTGTGACAGTAGGACTGGCAGCACGAGCAAGGTCGGACTGCGGGTCAGGAACGTCAGGAAGAGAGGACGCAGGAGGAGACGGCAGAGGGACACGCTGTGGAACATAGGAAGGACGAAGTGCCATCTGGAGTGTGCCGGGGACAGGAGGAGGACGCTGACGCGGAACACGACGACCAGTGCGAACAGCGCGACCAGGCGACGCAGGACGAGACGCAGGCTCACGACGCTCTGTAAGACCTCCTGTATGCTCAGTGTAAGGAGAAGGAGCAGGCAGTGGGGAGGTTGGCTGTAACTGCGGCTGCGACTGGTCGGGCGGTGGACACAGTAAGGGAGGAGTAAGGCCAGTAGAGGACGGGAGACCAAGAACCTGCTGCAGCAGTGGAACGAAGTACGGTCGCGGCCGCACAGTGCCTCCAGAACCAGCACCGACAGCACTAGCACCCCCAGGGCCAGCACCTCCAGCTCCAGGGTCTCCAGCTCCAACCCCAGTAGCACCACCAGCTCCAGCTCCAGTGCCTCCAGCTCCAACGCCTGCAGCACCTCGAGCTCCAGCAGCTCTAGTACCTCCAGCAGCGCCAGCTCCAGCTCCTCCAGCTCCAACGCCTGCAGCACCTCCAGCTCGAGTACCTCCAGTACGAACACCTCCGGGACCAGCAGCTCCATAACCTCCAGCAGCTGCAGCTCCAGCTCCTCCAGCTCCAACGCCTGCAGCACCTCCAGCTCCAGCAGCTCTAGTACCTCCAGTACAAGCACCTCCGGGACCAGCGGCTCCAGCACCTCCAGCAGCTCCAGCTCCAGCGCCTCCAGCAGCTCCAGCTCCAGCAACTCCAGCACCTGCAGCACCATCAGCTCCAGTAGCTCCAGTACCTCCAGTACGAGCACCTCTGGGACCAGCGGCTCCAGCACCTCCAGCACCTCCAGGACCAGCAGCTCCAGGGCCTCCAGCTCCAGGGCCTCCAGCGGCAGGCCCCCAGCTCTAGCAGTGCCACTCTGAAGACTCCAGCCCTGAGCAAACCACTCTCGCAGCTGCGGTGGAGAGAGAGGCTCCCGCCAGGAAGAGGCACCCGGAGAACCTCCAGTACCTCTAGCACCTCCAGGACCAGCACCTCCAGCACCTCCAGTACCTCCAGCTCCAGCGCCTCCAGCTCCAAAGTCTCCAGCGGCAGGCCTCCCAGCTCTAGCAGCGTCACTCCGAAGGCTCCAGCGCCGAGCAAACCACTCGCGCAGCTGCGGTGGAGAGAGAGTCTCCCGCCGTGACGAGGCACTCGGAGAACCTCCAGTAGACAAAGTACCTCCAGGCGCAGCACGCTCAGGCTCAGCACCCCCAAGCTCAGCACCCCCAGGCTCCGCACGCTCAGGCTCAGCACCCCTAGGCTCCGCACCCTCTGACTCAGCAACCCCAGGCTCAGCACCCCCAGGCTCCGCACGCTCAGGCTCAGCACCCCCAGGCTCCGCACGCTCAGGCTCAGCACCCCCAGACGCAGCACCCCTAGCAGCACCATCCCCAGCAGCACCAGAGTCGACAGTGACCTCGACAGGCTCGACAGGGTCTACCTGAGACACACCTGAGGGAGGAGGACCCTTAGGGGGGAGGGGGTCTACCAGAGGAGGACCTGATGCGAGGAAGAGCGGCGGGGGGGGGGGGGGAGAGGGCAGTGCGGTAGGGGAAGAGACGGTAAAAGGGAACCGACTCGTCAAACGTGACGTCCTGAGAGGGCAGGACACGGCGCGAGGTGGGGTGGTAAACCTGCCATCCAGGCGCGTCAGGGGGAAAGCCGAGGAAGACACAGGGAATGGCGCGGGAGGAGAGCTTGTCCGCGGACGTATCGCGGACAAAGGCACGAGAGCCCCAGACCCGGAACACCGACGCATCGCCAACCTTCCCCATCCAACGCAGTGTAGGCGAGGTCTCCGGCAAGGAGACACAGGGCCAGAGGTTGAGCTGATACGCAGCGTACCGGACCGCAAACGGCCACAGAAAATGGGGGGCAGCCGCATGGATCATGGAGGTACGAGCGACCTCCATGACTAACCCAATGCGGCGTTCAGCAATCCCATTCTGCTGCGGAGAGGCCGGAAGCGTGAACGACTGGAGAATGCCCTCCCCACGACAAAAGTCCCGCAAGAGGTCGGAGGAAAACTCACCACCTCTGTCATAGTGCAAACGCAGGACTGGAAGGTCTGTGTCGAACCGCTCGCGGAGCTGGAGACGGACAGCGCTGATCCAAGGGATCAAAACATCAGGGACCTCCCCCTTGCTGCGCAAGGGGAAGACCGTGGTGTAACGCGAGTAGTCGTCAACAACCAGCAGAAAGTAGCGCTCGCGGCCCTGTCCATGGAAGATGGGGCCTTTCCCGGACGCTTAAGGGTTGGAAAGAGCCGCTCCCCGGAATTTTCAGGGCTGGAAACAGGGGACCTCAGCCACTCAAGTGTTGGCCTAGAACCAATTGACAGCCCTGCTCTGAACACTGTAATTGATATGATTTAGTGTGGTTATACTCATTGACTGGTCTTGTAGCCCTTTGTCTTAGGACCTGGGCCATGTGGTACCGCTCTGAGTTGTACCTCATACACTTTGTCGCTAGAGGGGACGATGGGTAGCTAGGTAGGCGGGGCGGAAGCGTGCGACCTAACCTAACAGTATGTTATAGCTCGCATTATCGCGTTACAGTTTGCACCTTTCGTTATTAAGTATTTGCTCATGCCTTCGCCCACACTTGTTATTTTCTTTACCCCTTAGTGCAATTCTCGCTTCACTCATTCAATGGCACTCTACACACTTGTATAAACAATCTCTAATTATATCCTAGATAGTGGGTTTCCGTTTCCGAACTCTTCATTTACTATATGACTCCTACCATACTGGTTGGTCCGAAACCTTGTCACCTTCGTTATTCCAGGTTGATTGCGGACCGGTGGCGTGGCGATACATTCAGACTCCAGCGTTGACTTCAAAGGAGTTCTGACTTTCGTTCACGAACGCTCCGTGACTCCGTCCCTTCCCGTTCACACCACGCCACGCGACGCGGTAACCCGTCGCCATCACGTGGAAAAACCCACTGAACGAGCCGCATGTCGGACCAGAGTTTCAAGTACAAATTGAGCAGCCAGGCTTGTTCGACACGACAACACAAACCGGCAGTACAGCACTTCACAACAGCAGGTCTTGCCCATCTCCGTAACTCTTTCAGTGCGACGAACTACTATCACCCCCTTTTTCCGAAAGCTGCGTACTCTTCACGCTGATTTGATCTGCATGTATTGCGAATCGATGGGGACCCTGGTGAAATCACAGATGGTGGCGGTTCCTCTCATCCTCTTTCTCGTCATCGGCTCTTGCACGGCCGCTCATCCCTGGCGACGTGCTCTCGTCCGCGACGACGACGCTGTCTCGTGGAATGCAGCATCTACTACGAACGAACCCAACGCGCCTCACGTCATTCAATCCAAGGCTGCGAAATTTTCACAGAGGGTGTCAGAGCCCCTCGTGTATTCCGCCAGAGGCGCTGCTGGTTCGCACGCGACTCCGAGTTGGAGTCAGCACGCTGCTGCCAGTCACGCGGGGAACGCCGCCTCTCACGGCGCCCCTCACGCCGTCCATTACGCCGCCACTCCTGCCGCTTCTCGTGGTGCACGTAACTCCGTGAATCACGGCTCTCACGGACCTGGAAACGCCAACCTCCCTGCAGCAGCGAATCAGTATCGAGGTGGTGTTTCCCGCCATGACGGGAACGGCGGCGGAGCAATCGCCGTCAACGGCGCATTCCGCGCAGCCAGCACCAACGACGTGGCGATCCGTCACCGTTCCAGCCACGAGCGCCGCACGCGCAACGACCGCAGCAGTGGCGGGCCAGCGGGGCGGCACAACCAGCCCAGCAGCAGTGGAGGCTTTAGTGGCGGAGTACTTGCGCCTCCACTCTGGTCCTTGCCCCGCGACAGGCCGCGCTGGCCATTTCACAAGGCAGGATCTTCTGATGTGGCCATCCACAGGAGGAATGGTGGCGGCAACAGCAATGCGCGCGGCGCTAATCACCCCGGCAGCTATCAGCGTGATGATGGTGTGAATCGTGGGAGTGTGGGGATGGCATCTGCACACACTAACGCAGGTGGTGATTATGGCGGTGATTACAGCGGTGGTGACTACAGCGGTGGTGACTACAGCGGCGGTGATTATAACGGAGGCGACAACGGTGGTGACTATAACGGAGGCGACAACGGTGGTGACTATAACGGTGACGGCGGTGGTGACTATAATGGTGACGGCGGTGGTGACTATAATGGTGACGGCGGTGGTGACTATAATGGTGACGGCGGTGGTGACTATAATGGTGACGGCGGTGGTGAGTATAATGGTGACGGCGGTGGTGACTATAATGGTGACGGCGGTGGTGACTACAACGGTGGTGACTATAATGGTGACGGCGGTGCTGACGGCGGAAATGGCGGCGGTGACGGCGGTAACGGTGGCGGTGACGGCGGTAACGGTGGCGGTGACGGCGGTAACGGTGGCGGTGACGGCGGTAACGGTGGCGGTGACGGCGGTAACGGTGGTGGTGGCGGTGGTGGCGGCGGAAGCATCGACATCACAGGGATCCTGGAGGAGCACAACAAGGCACGGCAGGAAGTGGGTGTGCCCGACCTCGCATGGGACGACAACGTGGCAGCAACGGCACAGGAATGGGCGAACCACCTGGCGTCCATCGGGTGCCCTCTGGAGCACGGCGGAGCAGAGGGGCTCGGGCAGAACCTCTACTGGAAGTCACCCGCGGGGCTGACCCCACAGGAGGACCGTGGGGCGGTGCAGTCGTGGGTGGAGGAGAAGGCGGACTGGACCCCCAGCCCCATTCCCGACGGGTGTGCGGATGGCAAGATGTGTGGGCACTACACGCAGGTGGTGTGGCGGGACACCACTCATGTCGGCTGCGCCTCTGCTCAGTGCCCTGACGGCTCCGGCATGTGGGTCTGCGACTACTCGCCCCCGGGCAACTTTGTCGGCCAGACTCCTTTCTAGGCCGTCGGATGGTGCTGCCAGCGAAATCGTGCTGGAAGAGAGGGTGTGCAAAGTCAGAATTTTGAAAGTTGTACGGATTGTTTCAGACTGAAGGTATGCTGCAGAACTTTGGGGGAAAGGGTTTGTCAGTGTAAGGGTGGGCTCTGGTAGTTGTATGTGTGTCGAATCAGTGAAACTCAGCTTGTAATTTGTAAGGGTGGTTTCTGTTTTCTAGTGTGAATTGTACAAACCGACTGGGAACAAATGTGACCGCATGTGTTCTTTGGATTCATGCATAACCAAGTTGACAGCCATGACAGGGGACCACAAGCTTTCTTCCCTTCCTTCCACTGTTGGCTCTATTATAATGCGGAGCAAACCCAAGTTGGCAGCCATGACAGGGGATTACGGTACGAGGTAATGGGTCACAAGAGTTCCAGACGAAAAATGACAAAAACAACTTTTTTTTGGAACCACACATTTAGAGAGCTTTTATCTTGAACAAAATTTATCTTGATAATGTTTGCTTCGCAATTCGTACAAATTCAGAGAGCCTGAACAAGATTGCCTGCCTACCCAATCATAATTGCTCCATAATAAAGTACAACAAAGAATGCTCAGAAAGATAGGGAGATCCCTTCTCTCCCAAAAAATGATTCAGCTTTTTTCCTTCCTTCACAATTCGGTAGCCCCTTCATAGATTTTCTAGAACGGATTCTCGCCGTCGAAGTTGCCCGGGGGCGAGTAGTCGCAGACCCACATGCCGGAGCCGTCAGGGCACTGAGCAGAGGCGCAGCCGACATGAGTGGTGTCCCGCCACACCACCTGCGTGTAGTGCCCACACATCTTGCCATCCGCACACCCGTCGGGAATGGGGCTGGGGGTCCAGTCCGCCTTCTCCTCCACCCATGACTGCACTGCCCCACGATCCTCCTCCGGGGTGAGAGCAGCGGGCGAGAGCCAGTAGAGGTTCTGCCCGAGCCCCTCTGCTCCGCCGTGCTCCAGGGGGCAGCCGAGCGACACCAGTTCACTCGCCCACTCCGCTGCCGATGCTGCAACTGCGTCGTCCCATGCGAGGTCGGGCACACCCACTTCCTGCCGAGCCTTGTTGTGCTCCTCCAGGATAGTTGCAATGTCGATGCTTCCGCTGCCTCCACCACCGCCACCACCGCTACCATCACCTCTACCATCATCGCTACCATCACCGCTACCATCACTGGTACCATCACCGGTACCATCACCGCTACCATCACCGCTACCATCGCCGCTACCATCGCCGCTACCATCACCGCTACCATCACCGCTACCATCAGCATTACCATCACCAAAGTCACCATTACCATCACCGAAATCACCATCACCAAAGTCACCATTACCATCACCGAAATCACCATCCCCATTACCGTTACCACCATCGTCATCGTTGCCACCAGTATCACCACCATCAGGACAGCCATTCGAAGAGTCATCACTATTGTTGTCACCGCCATTGTCACCACCATTATCATCTCCTGCTTCGTTGTCTCCAGATTCCTCTCCCTCAATCCCACCGTCCGCGCCACCATCCTCCCCGGGATTCGCGCCGTTAGTATCGCCACTGCCACCTCGCTGCTTATTCCCCTTTGACTTGCCTTTGCCGCCGCGGCCGCCGCGTTTTCGGCCCTTGAGATTGAAACCAGGGATCACGAATGCGTTCCCTTTTTTGGCGCTGGCTACGTTAAATGCGGCGCCAATTGCTCCTCCTTTTCCTCCACGCTTTTTTCCCGGCCCACGGGGCTTGGCATTTCCGGATCCTGCAGCGCCGCCATTTGCGGGATTATGAGGAGCGGAAGGAGCGCCGTCAGTAGTGTCTTCCGACGCGGGTGCAGGTGCGGGTGCTGGTGTAGCGGTCGCAGCGCCAGAAATCACGAGAGAATTCGGCACGCTTTTGGCGAGCACATGAGCCTTTTCGAGCAGTTCGCGAGGCGCGTTGGGCCCGTTCGTCGATGTCGCCGTCCACGAGACAGCATCGTCGCTCGGCGATGCTTTGGTCTCGCTGAGTAGCGCTCGTCGCCAGGCATGAGCACTGGAAGAGCCGAGGATGAGAGAGAGTATGAGAGGGACCACCACAAGCTGTCGTTTCACAGGGACCCCCATCGAGCGGCAATTCTAAATTCAAGTGAGTGTAGTGAGTGACAAAAGCTGTTATGAGAAACAGCTTGTGTTAGGGGCCCTACTGGGTAGGAAACGAATGAGAGGATTCTGGTTACGGGATTACTATGGGCTGCTCGAATGAAGATGTACTTGAAAAGCTGGAAACGGAGCTTGCGTGCTTCAGAGCGTTTAGGCTGGGTCATTTTCGTTCGTTTGATAGGATTCAGTCTGGTGCGCAATGGTCGAAAGTGGCGGAAGACGAAAACCGTTTCTCACCATTTTGTAGCGTATCAAACCGTGCTAAACGCCCTTTACACGGCTCATTCTCCAACCCATCTATCTGGCCCAGATCAGGCCTGTCAATTGGTTTCGGATAAACAATTACCCCTATCAGAAAGTACCCGTAAGTTTACGGAAAGCAGACCCATGTGACCCATGTGTACGAGTACGGAATTTACCATACTTAGAACTCAGGGATTCATAGAAATGTGCACTTTTCAGGGCTCAAAGTGCAATAAGGTTGCATTCTGAAGTTGGGAACACCATCCGAAGTCTGGACTTGAGCGTTTCTCTTGCTGTATGACTACTGTCCTTACTAAAGTTTAGTACATAGTTCAGAGAATGAAGGGAAAATGCCTTTCAATCTAGAGCACTGACCCTGATCGGTACCGCTACCCTAGACAGTGGATTGGGGCAGAGGGCATAAACCTTTTCCAGAACCTTTTATTAGAACCTGATCGATTTTGTTGGGTAGTAATTATTTATGGATCTGCCATATTCAATGCTCCCAATAAAATACCTCCAATTTATTGACCGAGATGCTCATGCTGCTCCTGCTGCCTGCACCAACGCCCAGGTGCTGCGACGCCGCAAAGGGCGGACGGCGACGCACCTGGGGTCTGCACCGCCGCGAGACACCTGGACGCTGGCCCGCCGTGATAAGCGTGGATCAGAGCGGATCAGGTTGTATCCCTGGCTAGTGTCAAGAGCTGTTAGTGTCATGACACTATCTCGGAAAACGCATGGAGGACTAGTCCTCCTGGTGTCAGCTAAACCGACCAATCTGATCGCGGGAAATTGCCCAATGTGCCCAACATTGACACCAGGCTGGAGCCGCGTGCGGGCGCGGCTCCACCTGGTGTCAAGCGAATTTCCCGCTTGACACCAACAGTATCTTGACACTAGCCAGGGATACGACCTCAGCCTGAACCTGGTAAACAACAGAAACACAGACGAGGAGGACAAATGTCGTGTACGGAATTCTATATACGTGAAGGGTTGTCCAGCGCGGTTCAGTACGCTGAACCAAGGTCGAAAACGAATTTCGGATTCCACCACTTTAGACCATTGCCCGAAAAAAGGCGAGAGAAATTGCGATGACCTGAAAAGTGCAGGTGTCGCTGAAGTGCACGGCATGCGGCCCGCAGCCTGAGCGAGGTTGAAGGGACACTCGCAGCACTTTGTTTCCGAGCCGCGACAATTGTCTGGAAGTCTTTCAATTTCATCTGTTTCTGGACTGGAATGGAACCCCTGACTGCTTCCTCTGGTCCGCTCTTCTGGATATTCCGACAGCAGCATACTGTACTACAGACCAGCCAATCGTTGTTGAATAATAGTTGGAACTACGAAATACATTCTTCTGCTCAGTGGCTTCGAACAATTTATGTCTTGCACTAAATGAGATGTATGGATGTGTCTAAACAAGTGCCGCTAGATCATCATGATCCAATTCTCAGTGACTCACTCTCGTAAAGATTATCCACGAAACTAGCATTTAGGTCACTACTCTGTTGACATATTGCATACCAAGAGATGGAATAACACATTCCCTCTCCTAGCTAAACAGTATAGCATCTCATAAAAGTGTACTAGTCTAGTACCAGTATCTCTCGGCCAAGAGCGGAACGGTGTACCATGGGCTAAGGGTCGCCTTCACCCATCCCCCCATGTGACTTTCGACGTATCTTGAAATGGGCATGTGAGTGTGCCTCCATGTTCAGCTGCAACTCAACCACCAAACCCCCATAAATCATCACAACGTTCTCCATTCCAATCCAAATCTTAGTCACCCTCGCTTCAAAAGAACAAATCCTGTTCATCATCCCTCCCCCGACGTCCCATCGAACCCATCTGCACCCCACTCCCGCTCCCCCCCGACGGAGCCGCAGGGGGCCACTCCACACTCCCTCCCACCGACCCTCCTCCCCACTGCCCCGATCCCCCTCCTCCACTCCCCTCTCCCATCCTAGACGACGACGCCGACCTGACACCAGCAGCACTAGCAGCAGCGGCAAGGGTGACAGCAGCAGGGGGCTGAGCGTCACGAGAAGGGCGGCGCATTTCAGCTGGGAAGCGCTGCATGGTGGGGAGTTCTGAGAGCTCTGCTGCGCGCCTGCGCTGTGCGCTCGCCCTCCTTGCCACGTCCCATGCCCGCCCCACAATATCCACTCCCTCCTGAAATGGGATTGCACACAGGGATAGGGAAAAAGGGCGAGTTACGGAAAAGCAGAAAAGAGGGAGGGCAGTAACTTGTGGCAAGTGGGTGGGGGTGGGTTGAACAGGGGAGGTGGAGTGGAAGACGGTCAGTGGAAAAATGCTGGAAATAGTGACTAGTACTAAGTGGAAATGTGCAAAGAAAAGAAGGGGAGATGCAGTTCACAGTAACCGAATGGCCCGTAACAACCACGTTCGGCTCCCTTGAGTCGATTTGAGAGCAGCGTGAGGAGCCTAGTCCTGCCGCTGATGTATCTGATGTTTGTGATGCATGTGATGCATGTGATGCATTGATGCATGTGATGCATTGATGCATGTGACGATGCACTCAGTTCGCTGCGCACCTGCTTGGCAAAGAAGGACTCAAAGCCAGGAGTGTCAAAGGCAAAGCCTGTGTGCTTCTTGGAGGTGAGGCGCGGCAGAGACGCCATGGCCTGGCTGCGAATCTCCTCCCTCTCCAGCCTGGCCCGGTGACAGGAGGGGCGACAGACAGCCGCAGGGGGAGTGGGAGAAGCAGAAGCAGAAGCAGGAACAGGAGGGGCAGAAGATTGGGAGGGAACGCATGAGAAGGAAAGTGAGACGAGCAGATTGGGGGGGGGGGGGAGGATTGAGACAAGGGGGCGAGCAAGGAGGAATGACGAGGGGCGAGGAAGCAACGGGGAAGGACAGAAGAATATGCCAAGACGACCAAGGCTCAGCAGGCGAGTCAGAACGAGACCAGAAACAGAAGAAAAAAAAAGTTCCTATCCCCACTCCCCTTACCGCGCACCCCTTACGCTCTCCCCACCCACCCCTCTCCAACCCCCCAAACCCCCCTCCATAAACGCACCTCTTGGGCAGCTCAACGGCCACACCTTCCAGCTCCAGCTGCCAGTCCCTCTTCCTTACCCACTTTTCCTTCCGTACCCCCCGTCCCTAACCCCGCCACCCCCATCCCCCCATCCTTATCCCCCCACCCACGCACCTCTTGGGCGGCTCAATGGTCATGGCTTCCAACTCCAGCTGGCGATCCCTCTCGGCAAACTCGTCTGTCTTGGAGTGGAACTTGAGGTCCTCCTGGACTATCTGGTAGTCGTACGGGGAGAACCACCGCTGCAGCCTGGTGGGGAAACGGGGAGGGAAGGGCAGGGAAGGGCAGGGCAGGGCAGGGCAGGGCAGGGCAGGGCAGGGCAGGAGGGGGCGTGCAGGGAAACGACGTGTAAGGTGGGTGTAGTTGAGCCACGAGAAATTTTGTAGTGACCATCTTGGAGTGGAACTTGAGGTCCTCCTGTACTATCTGATAGTCGTACGGGGCGAACCACCGCTGCAGCCTGGTGCGGGGAAGGCGGTGGGAAGGGCAGGGCGGGGCAGGGCAGGGAGTGGGGAGTCGTGAAGGGAAGAGCAGAGAAGGCCAGGGAAGGGCGGGAACATGATTAGAATGTGCAAGGAAACGACAAGGTCGGGGGGAAGAGAGGGTGGCGGAGGACCATGGGGTAGGGGCCTCAGAGAGGAGAGGGGTCATCAAGAGGTGGTGGTAAGCAAAAGGTGCTGCAGGAGCAACCGCAAACGCACAAGAAAAAACGTGAATGCTTCGAATAGGGGAGGCCAATCAACGACAGCAGCAAGGCAGAGCGGCAAGGCAGGGAGGCGAGGCAGCGAGACAAGGCAGTGCGGCAAGGCACTGAACCATTGTAGAGGAAGTCAGGGAGGAGAGCAGCAATGGGCACGAGGAGGAGCGTGAGCCAGAAGTAGGAAAGGCAGGGAGGCAGGGCAGAGCGGCACGGCAAAGCGGCAAGGCGGGAAGGCAAGGCACTGACCCGATGTAGAGGAAGTCAGGGAGGAGAGCAGCAATGGGCACGAGGAGGAGCGTGAGCCAGAAGTAGGCAGTTCCCATCACTGTGTAGATCACCCAGTACTGGTTCGACTGCTCAGGTGTAACGCCATGGCGGAGAGAGAGAGGCAGAGAGAGAAACAGGACGAAGGGACTCAGCAAAGTGTTTCTAGAAAAACAAGAGGGCGAGGGAAAGGGGGAGAGAGGGAAGGGGGACGGGAAAGGGGGGAGATGGAGGGCCAGGGAAAGAGGAAACGGAAAAAGGAGGGGTAGAGGAAAAGCAAGAAGCAGGTGAGAAGGAGGGGAATGAGGAATGTGCACCATCCATCCATGTCCCGCTTTCACTCACTCACCACAGACACACCAATCCACCGATTCCCCACTCATCCCGCCTCTTTTCCCACTTGCTCTTCCCAGATCCCTCCTCCCAAATCCCCCCTCCCCGAATCTCCAGATCAGGAATCCCCCCTTCTCCCCCGACCCAAACCCAGAAACCTCCCCCTCCCCCCCCCTCCCACACACTGCAGCAACCGACCTGGGAGGAGTAGGAGGAGGTGGTGGAGGAGGGAATGGCGTCGTAGATGAGGATGAGCACGAACCAGAGCGCGATGGACACCACCACGCTCACCCAGTGCCCTCCTCAACTCCCCCCTATCCCACTCTCCCTTCCTCAAACCCCACTTCCCCAGTCCCTCCTCCCCGCCCCCCCCCCCCTCTCCAAATCCTCCATTCTCTCCCCCCTTCTTCCTTTCCACACCCCCGCCCCCCTTCGCCCCCACCCCGTCCCCCAAACCACAAGCAGCTTACCTGGGAGGAGTAGGAGGAGGTGGTGGAGGAGGGGATGGCGTCGTAGATGAGGATGAGCACGAACCAGAGCGCGATGGACACCACCACGCTCACCCAGTGCCACTTGGTCAGAAAGTCACTCGCCATCAGCAGCCGCACGTTGATCGCCACGATTACAGCCGCATATGTCATGGTGCCTGTCGGCCAGAGGAAAGCGGGCAGAGCGAGGCAGGAAAGTGGGGAGGAGAAGGGGGGGGGAGGGAGGCGGGAAAGGGAAGAAGAGACGGATGAGAAAAGGAAGATTCAAAGAGGGAAAGGATGGAGGGGGAAAGGATGGAGGGGGGAAAGCGAGTGGGGAAGGGAGAGGTTAGGGGGACAGTCTCAGAAGCAACTCAAAGATTCCCCACGCACACATTGATTTCCCACACACCCATATCCCACAGCCCGAACATGCGGCCGGTCCTGGTCTGTAAACCGACTTTAGAGGCACCTCAAAAAGTACCCACACACGCACACGCACACACCGATATCCCAGAGGCCGAGCATGAGGCCGAGCATGAGGCCGAGCATGAGGCCGAGCATGAGGCCGAGCATGAGGCCACTGCTGCCCTGCGAGTTGGAACCCGGGACTGGCAAACGGCGAAGAAGGGCCTGATGCCCCATCCCCCCTCACCCTCCCCCCCCCAACCACCCATCCTTTCCCCTCGCGACTCATCCAACTTTCACTCGCACACACGCTGCATCTGATTCCCGTTCATGATTTTATACTCGAAACCAGCTCAAATACCGCACGCACGCAGTCTATCCCAAACCACAGGTCCACACGCACGCACCGATGTCCCAGAGGCCGAACATGAGGCCGCTGCTGCCCTGCGAGTTGGAGCCTGGCACCGCCGTGAAGAAGAAGAAGATGAGGGACTGGTAGACGGCGAAGAAGAGCCAGATGCCCAGCACGCCCCATGTGAAGAAGCGGTTCTTGATGCCGTCCCGGTACAGCTGCGGGTACAGCTTCGAGTGCCGGCGATCCACGTCCTGAGAGGAGAGAGGGGAGGGGGAGGTTGGAGGGCAGGGGGAGAAAGGACGAGGGGAAGCAAGAGCAAGAGGGGGAGGAGGAGGAAAGGCAGATTGGTGAAGAAGTGGTTCTTGATGCCGTCCCGGTACAGCTGGGGGTACAGCTTTGAGTGCCGACGGTCCACGTCCTCAGCACAGACAGGCACGGGATGGGGGGGAAAGGGGGAGGGGGGGAGGACGAGGGAGTGTGTGCAGAGGAGGGGAGGGGGAAGGGGTTGGGGAACGGGAGTGGGGAGTGGGAGGGGGAGGGAAAGGACGAGGGGGAGCAAGAGGGGAAGTGGGAATGGGAAGGGGAGGGGGAGGGGGAAAGAAGGCAGGGTGGTGAAGAAGAGGATGAGGGACTGGTAGACGGCGAAGAAGAGCCAGATGCCCAGCACGCCCCATGTGAAGAGGGAGGGGAGTGCCGGGGATTGGACACGGAGGGAGGGGGAACGCGACGCGACCACACAAACGCCATCACACCCCCTCCCCCACCCCACCCTCCCCTCCTCAATCACCATAACCCTCCTTCACAGAGCCCGGACCCCCCCCCATTGAATCAAACCACAACCATCACCACGTCACATCACACATGCAGCTGCCCACGCGTACCTGCTCAAAGAGGCCGAGCACGATGACGGGCAGTGCGGTGACTTTTGAGTCGACTCAAAAGTCAGAGCCCGAACCCCCCCCATTGAATCAAACCACAACCATCACCACGTCACGTCACACATGCAGCTGCCCACGCGTACCTGCTCAAAGAGGCCGAGCACGATGACGGGCAGTGCGGTGAAGAGCACGTTGAAGGCGGACTGGAACCAGTCGTCGTACAGGCGCTGCCCTGAGAAGCCCGCAAAGCAGTTGAACCAGAAGAGCGTGAGCGTGAAGGCCAGGTTCTTGTAGAAGAAATACGCCACCACCTGGTGTGGGCGGGGGGAGAGGGGGAGGAGGAGGGGGCAAAGGGAGGGGGGGGGAAGGACAGAGGAATGAGGCAGTTGAACCAGAAGAGTGTGAAGGCGAGGTTCTTGTAGAAGAAATACGCCACCACCTGGTGGGGAGGTAGGGGGAGGAAGGGTGAAAGGGGAGGGAGGAGAGGGGGGGACGGAGGGGGAAGGACGGGGGGGGAAGGATGGGGGGGCAAAGCAGTTGAACCAGAAGAGCGTGAGCGTGAAGGCGAGGTTCTTGTAGAAGAAATACGCCACCACCTGGTGGGGAGGGAGGGGGGAGGAGAGAGAGGAGGCCGTGGATGGGCACCAGGTCAGCTTGAAAACCTTCCATGTCTGTATCGGTATGTATACATACATACATATATATGTATATACGTGAGAGGCTGAGGGAGGAGGGGAGAGAGGCCGGACCTTGGAGAGGCAGAGGTAGGAGAGGAGGCCGTGCACAAGCAACAGGTCGGTGAGGAAGCTTGTGAGTCAAGGAGCGACTCAGAAGACCAAGAACACAACAACCTACCTTGGAGATGCGCAGGTAAGACAGCCTGCCGTGCACGAGCAGCAGGTCAGTGAGGAAGCGACTTGTGAGTTGACTCAAAAGACTTACCGATCGGACTCGGACGACCAGCCAACACCCACCTTGGAGATGCGGAGGTACGACAGCCTTCCGTGCACGAGCAGCAGGTCGGTGAGGAAGCGGAACTGCGCGATGGCAAAGTCAGAGGCGAGCACGGCCTGGATGCCCTCCTGCCCGCTGATGCCCACTCCCACGTGCCCCGCCTGTCTCCCTTTCGAGTCGATTAAAAAAACAGCACCTACCTTGGAGAGGCGGAACGACAGTCGGCAGGCCGCGCACGAGCAGCAGGTCAGCGTGAAAGCGCCGCCTTCTATTTTGCCTTTGCGTAAGGAGAGCAGCGAAGGGAGGAGAGGAGCGAACGGCCAAACCCACCTTGGAGATGCGGAGGTACGACAGCCTGCCGTGCACGAGCAGCAGGTCGGTGAGGAAGCGGAACTGTGCAATGGCAAAGTCAGAGGCGAGCACGGCCTGGATGCCCTCCTGCCCGCTGATGCCCACGCCCACGTGCGCCGCCTGAATCATGCTCACGTCATTCGCGCCGTCGCCTATGCTCAACGTCACCTTGCCGGCCCCGTCCCTCATCAGTGCCGTCACCTGGAGGGGGGAGGAGGGAGAGACGGATGGCACGGGCGAACAGGGGGCAGAAAGGGGAGGCCCGGGGGAAGGCGAACGGGGAAGGAATGGGGGGCGGAAGTGGAGGGGAGCAAGATGTGGGAGGGAAACGGGAGGGGGGGACAACAGAGGGTAAGGAACGTTGGTCGCTGATGCCCACGCCCACGTGCGCCGCCTGAATCATGCTCACGTCGTTGGCGCCGTCGCCTATGCTCAACGTCACCTTGCCGGCCCCGTCCCTCATCAGTGCCATCACCTGGCAAGCAGGGAGGAAGACAGATTTGCAGGGGGCGGAATGGAGGAAAGGAAGGGAGGGGAAACAAGGTGTAAGTGGGTTTCTGGGAGGAATGGGTGGGGAGCGTGTGAGGTGGTGCACTTGAGAACAAGCGGACGAAGCGGTATTTATGAAAGACTGACGGGGTGAGTGTGTGTGATGTGGGGGGCACTGGCAGGGTGATGACAGGTGAAAAATGGAGAAAAGCAAGGGCAAGCCCACCACTAAACTCCAAGAAACATCCCATCTCAGCCTCAACACCCTACCTCACCAACCCTTGTATGCTCTCCTCCCTCAACCTCCCACCCTCCTCCCCTAACCCAATTCCCCTCTCATTCCCCTTCCCCGGTCCCCCATCTCCTCCAATCCCTGCCACCTGTTCCCCTCATGTTCACCCTCCCCCGTCCCCCTTTCCCCTCCTCCCCTCATCCCCCCCCCCAACTTCCCTTTTCCTCCCCTCTCCCCTCCTCTCACCTGTGCCTTCTGCAGGGGCGACACGCGGCAGCACACAACGGCCTTGCAGATGATCCCGAGCTGCAGCAGCGTGCCGCGCATGAGCGGATCCAGGGCGTACATGAGGCACCGCCCGTCGATCACCAGCGCACACGGGTACCCCCCACCTCTAACGACACTTCTCTCTCCCCCTCCCCCATCCATTCCCCTCCTCCCCTACCCCGGTCCCCGTCTCCCTTCCCCTTCCACAGTCCCCCATTCCCTTCAATCTCCTCCACCTGTTCCCCTACCTGTGTTCCCCTTCCCCCCCTCCTCTCACCTGCGCCTTCTGCAGGGGCGACACGCGGCAGCACACAACGGCCTTGCAGATGATCCCGAGCTGCAGCAGCGTGCCGCGCATGAGCGGATCCAGGGCGTACATGAGGCACCGCCCGTCGATCACCAGCGCACACGGGTACCCCTCGCGGTCAATCACCACGGCCTGCCGAATGGCGTCCCTCAGCTGCTGGAAGACCGACTCTCTGATGACTCTCGCCGTGTCCACCGGGTCGCCCTGGAGACGGAGGGGGAAGAAGCAGAAGGGAAGGAGGAGGGGAGAACAGGAGGGAAAGAAGAAGGGACCAAGAGGGAAGCGGGAGGGAAAAGGCAGGGAGCGGGGAAAGGGAGGAAGGGTGTCAGGTGTGGAGCATCCCTTGCGGTACACGGGTACCCCTCACTCGCGGTCTATCACCACGGCCTGCCGAATGGCGTCCCTCAGCTGCTGGAACACCGACTCGCGAATCACCCTTGCCGTGTCCACTGGGTCGCCCTGGGGGAACAGAGGGGAAACGGGAGAGGAGCAGGAGGGGAGCAGAAGCAGAACAGGCGGGAAGAGGAGGAACAAAACAGGGAACGGGGAAGGGCTAAGGGAGAGGGAGAGAACGAGTGAGGGACCAGAAAGAGACACCCAGCAGCGGCATGGAGGTGGAACAGAGGGCAGAGAGGGAGAGAGCAGAGCACAGCAACGAGGGGAACATACCCGTTCCTCAACCTCTCGAATGATGTCCGTCTCACTGCTGATGATGAACTGCTTCATCTGGTTCTTGAGCAGCATGCACGCTGCATGCCACCACAGCGGCACAGGCAGAGGCAGGGGAAACGGCAGGCCAAGGGCAAGGGCAAGGAAAAGCGTGAGTGGATGACATGTGGGAAAAAACAAGGCCAATAAAAGTTCAAGGATGCGCTGCTTGTCAGGCAAGAAACTCTCAGAAACAACACAACTTTATTGAACCAATGCAATCCCCCAGCTTCTTCCCCTTCCCCTCCCAACAACCCAAACTTTCAACCCCCACTCTCCTCCCCCTTCTCCCCTCAACCCTCCAAACCGCCACTCCAACCAACGCCCCCCTTCCCTCCCTCTCCTTCCCCACCTGTTCCCATTGCAACACCAGTCGCCTCCCCTCCCCCTTTACCCACCCCACCACATGCACCATACGCAATGTTGATCGCAGTCTCCATCTTATCCCCGGTGAGAATCCAGATCTTGATCCCCGCCTTCTGCAGCATCTCAAAACTGTACCCCACCCCCTCTACACAACCCCCCACACGCACCATACGCAATGTTGATCGCCGTCTCCATCTTATCCCCGGTGAGAATCCAGATCTTGATCCCCGCCTTCTGCAGCGTCTCAATGCACTGCGGCACGCCCTCCTGGAGCTTATCCTCAATCGCCGTGCACCCCAGGAGAATCAAATCCCTCTCAATCATCTCCGCCACCTCATCCAGCCGCTTCTCCCGCTCCCTGAGGGCCGATTTCGCCTGGATGAAGCGCTCGTTCCACTCCTCGTACAGCGCGGGGGGGAGCTCCCGGTACGCCAGGCACAGCGTGCGCAACCCGTCTGCTCCAAACTTCTCCAGGTGCTCGCGCGTCATGTCCTTGTGCGGGTTGCCATCCTCCGAGAGCCGCTCGTAGATCGTCACATCAGCGCCCTGCAAAGCAGGGGGCAGGGAGGGAGTGAAGGAAAGAGAGTCCGAGTCAGGTCATGCCTACAGGTGCTCGCGCGTCATGTCCTTGTGCGGGTTGCCATCCTCTGACAGCCGCTCGTAGATTGTCACGTCAGCGCCCTGCAGGGAGAGAGGCAGGTGATAGAAGGGGAGAGGGAAGAGGGAAGGCAAAGGTATGGCCTCCAGGTGTTAGCACATCATGTCCTTGAGCGGGTTCACACCCCTCCCTCCCTTCCCCCTCTCCTGGCCGCCCCTCACCCTGCAGTAGAGCACAATGCGCCCATCGGGGCATCTGCACCTACATCTGCCTCAAAAGCTCTCAACCCTTAGCCCAGCCGCGCCCAGCCAAACCTCCCTCCCACCCTCCCCTCCCCTCCCGCCCCCCCCCCCACACACCTTGCAGTAGAGCACGATGCGGCCGTCGGGGCAGTGGCAGATGACGGACTGGCGCTTGCGCATGGAGTTGAACTCCAGCACGTTCAGCACCTCGTACTCGCAGTCCGCCACGCGCCCCAGCCCTCCCTCCCTCCCTCTCCTCCCCCCCCCCACGCCCTTTCACCCTGCAGCACCGCACGATGCAACCGTGCGAGCATCTGCATCAAAAGCGTCGTCCCATGCCCAGCCCAACCCTCCCTCCCTCCCTCCCTCACCTCTCTTCCCCCTCCCACACACCTTGCAGTAAAGCACGATGCGCCCATCGGGGCAGCGGCAGATGACGGACTGGCGCTTGCGCATGGAGTTGAACTCCAGCACGTTCAGCACCTCGTACTCGCAGTCCGCCACGCGCCCCAGCCGCTCCACGTGCGACTCCCGAACCTTGATCGTCGTGGGCGTGCGCCTGAGGGCGGGTGGAGGTGGGGTTTGGGGGAAGAAGGGGGGTAAAGTGGGGGGAACAAAAGGGAGAATTGTTTAGCCAGAGAGAAGAACGCCCCAGCCACTCCACGTGCGACTCCCTCCCGCACCTTGATCCTCATGGGGGTGCGCCTGCCAGGCGGGGGGGAGGGTGAGGTGGAGGGAAGAAAGCATCAATTAGCCAGGGTGAAGAACGCCCCAGCCACTCCACGTGCGACTCCCTCCCGCACCTTGATCCTCATGGGGGTGCGCCTGGAGGGATGCAAGCAGGGTTGGTGAGTAGGGGAAAGGGATAGAAAGGCAAACTTGACACGTGCGAGAGCAATCCATGCGTGCTCGTTGAGCGAAGGTTGGAGTGGTGGTGGGGGGTCGTGGGATTGAGAAGCCTTTCCAAGGCATCCAAGCCAGTGCAGCACGCTCAGCAGCAGCCTACACGTCCATCCCTCCTCTCCCCCCCCCCCCCCCCCCCCTCCCCTCCCCCGCGCAAATATTCCCACAACAATCGCCCTGGCCCCACCCCAAACCGTCCCCCACCGCCCCCCCACCCAACAGCCCCAGGCACAGCAAGCAACCCACCGGTAGAAGAAGAAGCCAAAGTTCTTGGCCGCAGCCACCATGGCCGCCTCGTCTGTCACTGGTAGAATACCTTGCTGCCTCCCCTCCCCGCAACCCACCCGTACAGTACCTTGCTGCTTATCTGCCACACAGCACACCTCACCTGCCCCACCTGCCCCAGGAGCAGCAACCCACCGGTAGAAGAAGAAGCCAAAGTTCTTAGCAGCAGCCACCATGGCCGCCTCGTCGGGCGAGGCCGCGAGGTACTCTATCTCCTCGGGGGACTCCTCCCCCTCTGGCAGCACCGTGTGGCAGATGGCCAGCAGCCGGAAGAACTCCTGTTGCGCAGAGAGGGACGGGAGGGACGGGAGGGGGGTAAGGGGGAGGAGGGAGGGGAGGGAGGGGAGGGAGGGGAGGGACGGGAGGAACGTGAGGGAGGAGAGGGAGGAGAAGGAGGGGAGGGAGGGTAGGGATTGTAGGCAGATTCGGTGGGCGAGAGAAGTGGAAGCACGGGCAAAGCAGATTCATGACGGACTGACGCGATGAGAGGACAGGAGAGGAGAGGAGGAGGAAGATAGCAGTATTGGAAGCTAGTGAACACGTGGAGGCAGGGCATTGGAGGGAGGGTAAGGGGGAATGCAGCTGTGCATGCATCCATGCATCCATGCACCCATGAATCAGCGTATGAGCTCATGTGCTCATGCAACCCAGCATCAAAACTTTCCCCCGTCTCCCCTGCAAGCCAATCCTTCCCCACGCTTCCTCCCCTACACTCCCTCTCACACTCTCTCACCCACACTCTCTCTCCCACCCCTTCTCTCTTCCCCACCTCCCCTCCCCAACCCCAGCGTGCGCACGCACCTTGCAGATCTCAGCAGTGGGTTCATTGCGCCATGCGCCTCGCAGCAGGCGCTTGTCCTCAAAGTTGAATCCTCGGTCCTTGAACGGATCATCCGACCCCGTCGGTTTCTGCTCGCAACGGGGGGGCAGGGAGGAGGGAACAAGGAAGAGGTGAGTGAACTTCCCATGGTTGAGGCACCTCAAGAATAGACGCCTCGCAGCAGGCGCTTGTCCTCAAAGTTAAACCCCACCCCCGGTCCTTGAACGGATCGTCCGACCCCGTCGGTTTCTGCACGTCAAGAGGGCACGGACGAGGGAAGAGGGAAGAGGGAAGAGTGGGCGGTCCGGGAGAAGACGTTTTAGGCCACCTCAAAGAACGGGTCATCCAACCCCGTCGGTCTCTGCACCCCGAGCCTGGGAGGTCAGGGAACAGCACAGGGCGAGAGGGGGAACAGAGGGTGCATTGCAGTGTGTGTATCATGAGAGACATATGTTCAGAGCTGCTTTCGAAACTTCTCAAAAGCACCTCCAGCATGCTGAAGCCCGCCCCATGCATGGTGGAAGACAGAGAGAGTCACACAGGGGAAGAAGGAGATCGTATCACACTTTTGCTGCAGTAACAACAGCATTGCTCTGCCTGCCCTAGCCTGTGCCTTGCCTTGGCCATCAAGGCAAAGCCTTCCAAAGAGCTACACGAGAGGGAGAAGTGTCATCTCACTCACCAGAGGAGACACCTCAGCCTGGGATGCCCGGTCTTGGTACATGGATTCCGGGTCCTGCACACGCAGCACACAGCACAGGCGGGCACACACAGCAGAGGGTGGCACACACACAGTACGCGGGTGAGGACTTCTAAAGGGCTTAAGACAATTCCAGGAAACATAATCCAGCGCCCTATGCCGGCACACCATTCCACATGCTCCTCTCCTTCCACTACCATCCCCCTCACACTCCCCTCCCTACCCTGCCCCGCCCCACCCCTAACCTCCCTCACACAACCGCCCTCTCCCTGCATCCCGCTCCCTCCCACCCCGCACCTCCTGAACGGGCTGCCCCATGCGCAGAGCCATGGCGCACTGATCTTCGTGACGCCCGTGCCGTACAGCCCCCTTCCACTACCCCCTCTATTTCCACCATCACCCCCCTCTCCCTCCCCTCCCCACCCTGCCCCACCCCGCCCCACCCCGCACCTCCTGGATGGCTGCTCCATGCGCAGGACCATGGCACGCTGGATCTCCATCACGCCCGTACCCTCCCTACCCTGTCCCGCCTCTAGCACCCTCACCTCTAGAACACCATCCCTAATACAACCTGCCCCCCCCCTTCTCCGCACCTCCTGGATGGGCTGCCCCATGCGCAGAGCCATGGCACACTGATTCTCCGTGACGCCCGTGCCGTACAGCCCCCCCTCTCTTTCCACTACCACAACCCCTTCTCCCTCCCCTCCCCTCCCCACCCCACCCCACCCCTCACCTCCTGGATGGGCTGCCCCATGCGCAGCGCCATGGCGCGCTGGATCTCGGTCACGCCTGTGCCGTACAGCGTGCCGCCAATGGAGCATTTGAAGAACTCCATGGTGTTGCGCGTAAGCGTGCCCGTCTTGTCCGAAAAGATGTACTCCACCTGCGGGCGGGGGCGTGGGCGTGGGCGTGCATGCAAGGTAGCGGGGGTAGAGGGGGACAGAGCAGGGTAGAGGGGGGTAGAGGGGCACAGCAGGGGACAGGGGGGGCAGCGGGGGGTAGCAGGGGGCGCAGGGGTGAATGGCACTGTGTGTAAAGAGCACAGCCGATGGAGCATTTGAAGAACTCCATGGTGTTGCGCGTCAGTGTGCCCGTCTTGTCCGAAAAGATGTACTCCACCTGCGGGCGGGGGCGTACACGCAGGGGAGAGAGGGGGATAGCGGAGCGCAGCAGGGGACAGGGGGGGCAGCGGTGGCAGCAGGAGACAGTGGGGAACAGTGGGGGCCAGCAGGGGGCGTAGAAAATATACTCCACCTGGGGGCGTGGGCGTGGGCGTGGGCGTGGGCGTGGGCGTGGGCATGGGCGTGGGCGTGGCCGTGGGCGTGGGCGTGGACACACAGACGTGATTCACACCACGCCCTTCCTCGATAAAACCACACACACGTGCAAGGAGCAAGCACACCACCCCTTCTCCAAGCCCCTTCCCCACCCCGCTTCAACCCGCCAATCTGCCCCAGCGCACCCACCCTCCCACGCACCTGCCCGAGCTCTTCATTGAGGTTGGAGGTGCGGGCGAGCGCGGGCGTCTGCGTCTCTCGGTGGAACATGTGAAGGTCCTTGTTGATGAACTGCGTGCTCTGCACAAACTTTATCATCTGTGGCCGGGATGGGGTGCCCAAGGGGGAGAGCATGGGGGAAAGGGAGGGGGGGGAGGACGAGGGAGGGGGGAGGGGGGGAGGAAGGGGGAGAGGAGAGGGAGTGGGGAGGAGGGGTGGAAGGGGGAGGAGGAGAGGGAGTGGGGAGGAGGGGTGGAAGGGGGAGGAGGAGAGGGGAAGGAGGGAATGGGGATTGGAGGTGAAGGGGAAGTGAGCGGACGGGGCGAGGGCGGGCGTCTGCGTCTCTCAGTGGAACATGTGAAGGTCCTTGTTGATGAACTGCGTGCTCTGCACAAACTTTATCATCTGTGGCCGGGGATGGAGTGAGATGGGGTGGAGGAGGGGGGGGGAGGGATGGGGAGAGAAAGAGAGGGGGAGGGAGCCAGAGGAGTACCGGAGGGAACGACAAGAGGCAAGGAAGGGTGGTCGAAGGAATGTGAGAGACTGGCACGTGGTTCTCAATGAGTGAATATTCGGAGAATATTCAGGAAAGACGAACACCTGAGCAAGAGGGTATCTCACAGAATAACAGACAGACTGACTCACTGATCTCAACATTCACTCAGGAGAGATATCGGCGGCAGTGGAAGCGCGTGTAGGACGAGCTAGAACACAACAGTCAGCAGGGAAGTGACGTAAGTGATCCCCACGTGAGCCCACCCTACGTGAGCCCACCCTGAGATGGTCAGTGCAGCGCTGCCAAAGCCCTCGCAACTGACCTCAATGGACACGTAGAGAGAGATGGGGATGATGGTGGCGTATAGGATGAAGAGCGTGAGGAACGTGAGCGAGCCCACCTGCACACACATGGGGCGGAAAGCGGGGAGCGAGGAGCGGGCGAGCGCAAGGGAAAGCGAGGGGAAGGGAGCAGAGGGGAGGTGGGTGGGCGGATGCTACATAATCAAACAGAATAGAACAAAATCCTCCAGGGTTTAGCAGAATGCTCAGATGCAAGGGACGGACGGATGGACAGGTGAAAGAGGCGGGTAAGGGAGCGATAAAGGTTTGACAGAGGAGAAATGACACAGGAGAAAAGAGGGGACAGCGGATCGGGGAGGAGAGGGACGAACGACGGATGAGATGCAAGCAGGACGGACGTGGTCAGTGCAAACGTGTGATCACATGGGCTTTGAGCTTTCGCGCTGGCACTGACAGACAGGGAAGCAGAGCGCACATGCACGGGTGGAGATGGACGCGAGGGGGAGAGGGGGAGAGGGGGAGAGGGGGAGAGAGGGAGAGAGGAAGAGAGGGAGAGAGGAAGAGAGGGAGAGAGGAAGAGAGGAAGAGAGGAAGAGAGGGAGAGAGGGAGAGAGGGAGAGAGGGAGGGGCGCCACGTACCGCCCAAGGGTTACTCGGGTCATACTGCGGCTGGCTGTCCGTGAGCTGCAGGTACCACTCGTCGTAGTTCAGGAAGAGGGCACTGCAGCACGGTGGGGGGCATGGGGTGCAGCAGTGGGGAAGAGTCATGAGTAGAGGAGCGTGGGGAAGGGGAGGGGGTATGTCAGATGACGTCTCAACTCCCTAGTGCTGTCCGTGAGCTGCAGGTACCATTCGTCGTAGTTCAGGAAGAGGGCACTGCAGCACGGTGGGGGGCATGGGGTGCAGCAGTGGGGAAGAGTCGTGAGTAGAGGAGCGTGGGGAAGGGGAGGGGGTATGTCAGATGACGTCTCAACTCCCTAGTGCTGTCCGTGAGCTGCAGGTACCATTCGTCGTAGTTCAGGAAGAGGGCACTGCAGCACGGGGGAGGAGAGAGGGGCATGGGTTGCAACAACGGGGAAGGTGGGGAGGGGAGAGGGGAGGGGGTATGGTTGATGACGGCTTCTCATTGATGTCCGTGAGCTACACGTACCACTCGTTGTAGTTCAGGAAGAGGGCACTGCGGCACGGGGGAGAGCGTGGGGTGGGAGGGCATGGGGTGGGAGGGCATGGGGAGGAGTCATGTAATGAGACGAGTGGTAAGTCGGCTCAAGACTCGTAAGCTGCAGACCTTCTGTGAGCTGCAGGACAGCACAGCTCACAGCACACGGCACAGCTCACAGCACACACAGACACAGAGAGACCATAGCACACAGCAAGCGTGCATGTGCAGCAGCACCCAGCACACACACAGATGCAGCTCACTCTCACACCGCACACCGCCCACGGCACAGAACTCGCACCTGGCGATGGCACCGATGAGGCACATGGTGAAGAGGATGAGGATGACCAGGTCCATGCGCCGGTCCAGCACACACCCAACACACAGACAGGCAGCCCACAGCCCACAGCACGGCGCACAAAACACAGCACCGCCCACAGCGCACAGCACAGCGGAGCACAGTGGGGAGAGACCGTAGCACAGAGCGCACAACACGCAGCGACCAGAATGCGCACCTGGCGATGGCACCGATGAGGCATATGGCGAAGGGGATGAGGATGACCAGGTCCATGCGCCGGTCCTCTCCCACCCACGCAGCACCCAGCACACACACAGATGCAGCTCACTCTCACACCGCACACCGCCCACGGCACAGAACTCGCACCTGGCGATGGCACCAATGAGGCACATGGTGAAGAGGATGGCGAAGAGGATGAGGATGACCAGGTCCATGCGCCGCTCCAGCGTGCTACGCTTCGATGGCACGTCCATGGCGTTCATCATCACCTGCATGCACCACCATGCACCGCACACCACCGCACACAAACCGCACATCATCACACACGCATGCCGGTTAGGGGAGGAAAAGGAGCGAGCCTTTCCCCTCAGGGAGCTTCCATTGAGTACCCTTCGCTTTCTCCTGCGGTTCATCAGAATGGCCATCGCGCTCACCACCATCACCTGTGTCTCGATTATGGACCAGGGGAGGGTGAACGGAGGGGAGGAGAGGGTGAGTGAGGAGGGGGAGGGACTGACGGAAGCAGCTTCGCCACAAAATGCGGGTACCTATGAGTTGACTGCACACCCATAGGCACACAAGCGCATGCCTACGGGTGTTGGAGGAGCTGTGCGGGTGGGTAAAGGGAGGGAAGGTAAAGGGGACAGAGGGAGGGTAGAAAAGAGGAGGAAGAACGAGTGTAATAGGAGGAAAGCGGGAAACCGTGGAAGGGAGGTTCACATCGTTTGGGTGGGTGGGTGTGTATGCCATGACACACCATGACGCGTACCCTGCAACTTTTTCAGTAGACTCACAAAGTCACTTCGTTTATGTGGGTGGGTGGGTGGGTGGGTGGGTGGGTGGGTGGGTGCGCCATAATGCATGACGCACCACGACACGCGGCACATACCTTGGTCTCATGGCCTGTGAAGATGACCGCACCCACGATCCACTCTGTGTTGCGCAGACTGCAGCCCTGCAGCAGCGAGACACGTGGATACACAGAGAGAGACACAGGAGACACAGGAGACACAGGAGATGCAAAAATGCAGGAGATACGCGAAAAAAAAGTCGGTGCCTTTCAGGAAAGAGAAGTTGACGCGAGCAGAATGGATGGTAGGACAGCAAACAGCAGGTACCAGGCAGCAAGGAGCGAAGAGCACGGAAGCAGAACGCAAGGAAGCAGGAGCATAGGAGAGGGCGGGCGTGCGTGCGTGCGTGCGTACTCGGAGCAGCATCTGATTGGGCGAGATGGGCAGGGTCTGCTTGCCAATGACCAGGTTGCCCGTGAAGGTGTAGAGAGAGTTGTTGGGCTGCTCACACTCCACCATGGCTGCCCACGGCCGGGTGGAAGGGGTGAATGGGATGAACGGGATGAACGGGATGAACGGGATGAACGGGATGAACGGGATGAACGGGATGAACGGGATGAACGGATTGAAGGGCAATGGAATTCATCAGTGAATGGATGGACGGATGGATCGATGGATGAGCAAACGAACGGATGAGCGGGTGAGCGAATGACTGACGGAACCAATGAGAGTAGGGAGAAGAGGGCAGGGAGAAATGGGCAGGGTTACAAAAGGAAGGGATAAGACAAACAAAACGTTTCTCATTAAGGAGACATTGGCCATCCCTGTCCCAACCCTCCATCATGTCATGTCATCACAGCACGCTTCACAGCTGCTTCATGTCATCATCCCACACACACGCAACGCAACACCCCCGTCACCAACACCAGCACATACACACGCACGCATGCACGAAGGGATGCACGCAGGCAAGCACACACGCACGCACGCACGCATGCATGCATGCATGTATACGCGTCCAGTACCTACCTCGCAGGTCAGCAGCAGCATCCGCAGTGATGTACTCCCATGTGCGCTCCAGAACCTTTTGAGTCGACTCAAAAGTCAGATGTGCGCTCCAGCGCCTTGCCTTGAGTCGACTCAACACTACGCGCTGCACTGCACTGCACTGCACGGTACCTACCTCGCAGGTCAGCAGCAGCATCGGCAGTGATGTACTCCCATGTGCGCTCCAGCGCCTTGCGGATCTTCAGATTCGTCTCCCCATCCAGGTTCGACGTCTGCCATGCACACACACAGCACACACAGCACACAGCAGCACACACAGCACACACAGCACACACAGCACACACGGCACACGGCACACAGCATACAGCACATAGAACACGGCAAGTAGCACACAAGGTGAATTCTTGACACAGAACGGAACCCACAAACGACGGAAATTCAAGATGTCTCAACGCTCGCCTGCCACGCGCGCGCGCAGCACTGACTATGACCACGTCAGCATGGCAACGCCACTGCAACGCCACTGGAAGCAACGAAGCCAGCACTGCCAACGCCAGCACGCCAATCCAACCTTCACTTCCCTATCTATCAACCCCATCGCTCTGCCATGCCGGCACGTATTCATGTCGTTTTTTAAGGATTCTCGGTGTTTCAAATTCAAGTCTTCCTGGCCTTCCCTTCCCCACTTCATCCCTCCCATCCACCACATCCCTAACAGCACTCCCCCTTCCCTCTGCCTCCCACGTCCGCCTCCTTTTCCCGTTCCGCCTCCCTTCCCCTTCTGTCACCCTCTCCCCCGTTCACTATTCCCAGCAGCCCCATGTGAAGGAGGGACAAGGACGGCGGGGGGCGCACCTCGATGTAGCAGATGCCATCTCCGTTGGTGGTGGCGAGGCACAGCAGATCCGCGGGGAAATACTGGTCCGACTTCACCTGCACTCACAGCAGAACCATCATCACCATCACCATCACCATCATCATCACCATCACCATCATCATCACCATCACCATCACCATCATCATCACCATCACCATCACCATCACCATCATCACCATCATCATCATCACCATCACCATCATCATCACCATCACCATCATCATCATCACCATCACCATCACCATCATCACCATCACCATCACCATCATCATCACCATCACCATCATCACCATCACCATCACCATCACCATCACCATCACCATCATCACCATCATCACCATCATCACCATCACCATCACCATCATCATCACCATCACCATCACCATCATCACCATCATCATCACCATCACCATCACCATCATCACCATCATCATCACCATCACCATCACCATCACCATCACCATTATCATCACCATCACCATCACCATTATCATCACCATCATCATCACCACACAGTGGAAAAATCGCATGAAGTGTGGAAGCGTTAGCATGGGAGACAGGGGAAACGAGGCGGGCATGCCTTGAATCGAGGAGGAGCAGGAGGAGGAGAGGAGGGGGAAGAGGGCGGAAGGCGAGGAGGTTTTGGGGGGGAGAGAGGGGGGAGGGGAGGGGAGTGAGCGGGAAGGGAGGGGTCATAGGAATGTGGGTGTGTGGCTTCAACAGCTGAGTCCAGCGCGGTGGGGAGCGGTGGAAAACGAACGAACGCACGCACCCGTAGAATGTCGCCGACGCGCACAGCACTCCAGGGCGTTTGGATCCACTGGTTGCCTCGCAAGCACTCCGTGATGCTCGAGTTTATCACCTTGTCGCTGTTGTACCGCTTCTGCTCCACACAGCACACGCAGCACACGCGGAGGCAGCACACGCGGAGGCAGCACACGCGGAGGCAGCACGCGCCGGGGCAGCACATGCGGGACACGCGGGTGAGGGACACGGGTGAGTGATACGGGTGGACGAAAGGAACCGACGAGAGAGTGAGAAACGGGCGACGGGCGACAGGCGACGGGCGACGGGCGATGGAGAACATGGATGGCCACAATGGGAAGCGAGCTCGCTTGACTGCACTGCTTGGCCTCGCAAGCAGACGCGTGAAGAAAGAAAGAACTAGGCGCAGAGAGATGAAGGAGAGAGACAGAGAGAGAAGAAACGCGGAGAGACGGTGAGGAGGGGAGTGGAAAGGAGGGGAGAAGGCTGGGGGGGAGGGAAGGGCGGAAAGGAAGGGGACGGAAAGGCAGACTGACCCGGTCTTCAAAAGCCTCTTTCATAAGCGAGACCATGAGCACGAGCACGAGCGGCAACACGTTGGTGATGGGATTCACCGGACTGGATCGTGGGCAAACGGAGCAAACAAGGGAGTGCAGGGGGGCGCAGGGGAGTGCGAGGGAGTGCAGGGAGAAAGATCAGCACACGGCGAGGAGCACACAGCACGGGCAGGGCAACTGCAAGCATGCACAATGACTCAGCAAGGCCACAGGTAACTGCAACCTGCGCGACCACGTAACATGGTTCGTTCGCCTGGTCAATTCCGCTTGAAAACGCTAAGATGGCTGGGAAAAAAGAACAAATAGACGACCTTGCTGGAGACATGAAATGTAGGCTCCTAATGCCGCCGCAAGGGCTACGAGCGCAGCTCACAGGCACTAGATTGAGGGATGGCTTTCACGAGTTTTCACAAGGGAATCCGGGACAGGGAATGTGGGCTCACCTGACAGGCGTTGTGGAAAGAATGGCGATGAGAAGGAAGTACAGGTTGGCGACTCTCCGGAACTGCAGCGACAGCAACGACGGCAACGGCAGCAACGACGGCAACGACAGCAACGACGGCAACGACAGCAACGACGGCAACGACAGCAACGACGGCAACGACAGCAACGACAGCAACGACGGCAGCGACAGCAACAGGCGCATCGCAGACACAGCATGACAACGCCGACAGTGATGGCAGCGACAGTGGCGACGACGGTTGCGATAACAATTGCGACAACGGTGGCGACAACAATTGCGACAGCAGTGGCGCGGCAACAATCGCGAGAACAGCAGCAACAACACGCGCAGAGGAAACACAGAAAATCACATGATCATCCGCGTCATTCTTCCCAGTCGGCTCGAGAAACAAGTAACCGGGCACGCTGAACACTTGCGCACATCTCTACATCAATCGTACATCGCGCCTCGAGCGCAGAAACAGCGCGTCGTAGGGACGCACGCCTGGTCAACGCCGGAACCGCGGGGGGAAAGGGTCAGGTCGAATCTCGCCAGAATCATACTGCAACATAATCACGCCATCACGCCATGACATGCAAGAATCCAAATTCGAGAAAAAATAATGGGCGAGCAGCCGACGCAAGAAGCCTCTTCTCAGAATCTCGATACCAACTTTGGACGCCTCGATCTGTAATTATCAGCCTACCCGACTCGTGGAACGATCAGCGATAATTTCCTCGTCGGTTGGCGCCGGAAAGATCATATCTTATCTTCCTGGCTGAATCGCTCCCTCGACGGATCGTGAAGGTTTCCAGTACTAACTAGCAGCGTCGCCGAACGAACACCTTTGAGGTAAGCTACATTCCGCTCGTGTTCTCTTCTTCAGTGTTCTCAAAGGTATGCTACTCTTTCAGCACATTGATTCGTTGCGAGCCCACTAACGCACCGCGATGACGACGGGAAAGTGAAAGTGAAGGGTAGGAAAGTGGAGGGTAGGAAAGTGGAGGGTAGGAAAGTGGAGGGTAGGAAAGTGGAGGGTAGGAAAGTGGAGGGTAGGAAAGTGGAGGGTAGGAAAGTGGAGGGTAGGAAAGTGGAGGGTAGGAAAGTGGAGGGTAGGAAAGTGGAGGGTAGGAAAGTGGAGGGTAGGAAAGTGGAGGGTAGGAAAGTGGAGGGTAGGAAAGTGGAGGGTAGGAAAGTGGAGGGTAGGAAAGTGGAGGGTAGGAAAGTGGAGGGTAGGAAAGTGGAGGGTAGGAAAGTGGAGGGTAGGAAAGTGGAGGGTAGGAAAGTGGAGGGTAGGAAAGTGGAGGGTAGGAAAGTGGAGGGTAGGAAAGTGGAGGGTAGGAAAGTGGAGGGTAGGAAAGTGGAGGGTAGGAAAGTGGAGGGTAGGAAAGTGGAGGGTAGGAAAGTGGAGGGTAGGAAAGTGGAGGGTAGGAAAGTGGAGGGTAGGAAAGTGGAGGGTAGGAAAGTGGAGGGTAGGAAAGTGGAGGGTAGGAAAGTGGAGGGTAGGAAAGTGGAGGGTAGGAAAGTGGAGGGTAGGAAAGTGGAGGGTAGGAAAGTGGAGGGTAGGAAAGTGGAGGGTAGGAAAGTGGAGGGTAGGAAAGTGGAGGGTAGGAAAGTGGAGGGTAGGAAAGTGGAGGGTAGGAAAGTGGAGGGTAGGAAAGTGGAGGGTAGGAAAGTGGAGGGTAGGAAAGTGGAGGGTAGGAAAGTGGAGGGTAGGAAAGTGGAGGGTAGGAAAGTGGAGGGTAGGAAAGTGGAGGGTAGGAAAGTGGAGGGTAGGAAAGTGGAGGGTAGGAAAGTGGAGGGTAGGAAAGTGGAGGGTAGGAAAGTGGAGGGTAGGAAAGTGGAGGGTAGGAAAGTGGAGGGTAGGAAAGTGGAGGGTAGGAAAGTGGAGGGTAGGAAAGTGGAAGGATTTCATGAATGAGCACACCTGCTCGAAGAGGCCTTTAGGGAGGAAGGTCAAAAACGAATACTTGGTCGTTGAGACGCCATTGTTCTGCCAGACAGCGCGGAGGACGGGGGAAGAGAACGGAGTTGAAGGCGAAGATTACATAATTATGCTGGAAAACCATGCGAGGTAATACCAATATCGAGGAAAACGTCAAGAATACCAAAAAACACAGCATTCTGTCATTTCCAAAATCCGTGGCCAAAAGAACGTCAGAGCATGGTAAGAATGGCGCGGCATCACAAGCAGCGATTCATCCGCGCCATAAAACGCAACACCGACGGATAATCACTTTGAAAAAACGTGAAGAATAAAGAGACTGGACGAATAGAAAGTAGTTCCTAAGGCGAACGAAAACTACAGCTCTACGCGAAGACTTTACGATGGCAGATTTATGCTGGCAGAAGAGCGTAAGAGCAGTAGAGCAGCAACGATGTGGTGCGGCGCGAAGGCAAGCGAACCTTGTATTGCTGATGAGCGTGTGACCGCGGGTCGTTCACGTTGACCGTGCGATGGCTTCCCCCGTGTGTCATGCTTCCCCTGTGTGTCGGGCTCCGAAGCGGATTCGTCGTGTCATCGCGCTCGTACATCAGCCGCCCGAATCTAAACGGATCAAACCGTTTTAGCCTCATGTCTCCTGATTTCTATATAGTCCTGGCGTGTGCGTTGCTTTACAATGTTATGACGTACGACGCACGACTAAAATATATGGATGTCAAATATACACCCAGTCCTAAACTAATTCGCGAAGCACTGTCGTAAACTAGGCCAGGCACCTAAGTTCTCGTGGATCCATCACACCGGTGCCGGACGACAGAACCATTGTAGGTGAATTCCGCAAGTCGGCCGAGATTCGCTCTAGAAGACTGGCTCCAGGCAATACTGCTTCAGCAAGACAATGGCCAAAACAAAGAACGTAAGCTGTGCCTGCAACGAACCCGTAAGGCAAGTACAAGAAGCTTGAGAGAATCTCCCGTGTGGTTGGAAAGCTTCGGAACTTGGAATAAAGAAAGAGTGGCTGATGAAAAAAACAGGTTCTGGAGAAACCAAGTTGGGATTTGAAATAAATCTGTGCTCGAGAGAGATCATGTGGAGGGATTGGCTTTTGACAGACTCTGGCTTAGGTGCGAGTGGGGGTTGGTTTCTAACTACAGTGTACTGTATTGCCCGCTGCCCGCTGCCCGCTTCCTGCTCCCCTTCCCGCCTTCCATGTACTTGCGATTGCTTCCTCTCCAGCAGATCCTGCCCCGCTTTTTCCGGTGTGGTATGCGATGGTTCGAACCCGAACTGCCATGCTGAACCAGTTGGTGAGGTGCTCGCAGAGATGGTGACTGGTCGCTCCGTCACATCCCGAACCAAGCCAGTTGGTTGGTGTGAGTCACACCAATATTTTCCATATCGCACATGGCAAAGGTGGTCAGGTTGCGACTGTTGCGACGAGAAGCCGGACGCAGTCTACCTCACTCTGCATGGAGGAGGCGAGGCGAGGCGACACCCCAAACCCTTGGAAACGTCGCATCCATACCACGGTGTTGAAGAAGCCCACGGGAAATAACGCGTGAAAGCCCTCGCATTCATTGTCGCAGATTTTCGCAACCACTGATGGTTGTGCCGTGAGCGCTCCGCCAGATCACCGTCAGTCACCCCATCCACCGTTGCCCTCGCTGCGGAACAAATGAGTTTCGCGCGCCCTTTTTCAATTGTTGGAGGCTACTGACAAGAGCCTGCAGCACCCAACCTAGGCTGCTGTCATACTGCAGAAAATGTATAATGAACGTATTTCATTTCAGTTTTTACATAGGTTGTACAGGCCCTTTGGTCTATGTCTGCAAAATAATAGTTGGGTTGACTAAGCCGAGGATGAAATGCGGCGGAAGACTTCGGAGAAATATGTTACAATCTGTTATGATAAGGAATTAAGTTAACATTACTATACGTAACATAGGTACTACCGAGGATGAAGACGAAGGGACAGGATAAATCAAAGGGTCGCAAGGGCATCGGGACCGTCGTAGGCAGATACAGCAGCAAGGGAAAAGGCGGGAACAGGTTCAAAGCAGGTTCCCGCGCCGCACGGTTTGCAGGGGCTCGTTTCGTGTTTCGACTCATTGCGAACCATCCGGTATCAGTATACATGTGATCGTACACTGTACAGTCAGGGAAAGACAATCCTTACGCTGTTTTCCAAAGAGTAAAAAAAAACTTACACTTTCTGGCCTATGGTAAAAATCCCATCACCCTTCCTGGGAAAGGGTAACTGAAAAAAACTGGCCGCCAGAAAGGGCAAAATTGGCATTTTACCCTGATATTTTGAGCCTTGCCCGTAGAGTACGTGGCTAGTTAGGTCGTTTCGTATCCCATTCGTAATCTTATATAAACCTATGAATGTCTTTGTTATGATCACTTCTGTCACGTTACATTCACTCTGACAGATGTCATCAAAACTTGCTTCCGCTGCAAACTACCTGCGAACAACCCTAAGGCAGATCCTGGCTAAGTCTCCCGTGGGATTGTAACATGGTATGAGCGCGACTCAGGGATTCTTCGCATCCCCACTTCTGAACGTTCTTACGAACCGAAAATGGCGACCGGCATACGCTCGCGTGTCAAGATGGCCGGAGGATCGGGAGGAGAGACAAATCTAACGGCTGAAGCGCAGCCCAACCCTGCTGCGACCTCGCATGCGACGACGATTATCAGTATCGCCGCCCTGTCACACATTTAAGTTAGCATGGATAGCGTAGTGACAAACTAAATATAATTGTGAGACTGATAGCTACAGTAGAAGCAAGACAGGTTATAACGAGAAGGTGCACGTTGGGAGGCATGCAGGAAAGTAACTGTTTGTTATAATCTAAGAACGAACGAGAATGATGAACTAGAAAGGAATGGGAGTACAAGTACCAAACCCTAGAGTAGTGTACCCCTTAAAGGCTAACCCACGGTAGCCTACACAACTATAACATATATAATGTTTGACACACCCCCATAGGCTAAGTGGGGGAGAGCAAGGGGTCACAAGACCAGTCAAAGCAAAGCAAAGCAAAGTAAGCTCAGGGTGGATCTCAAGGATACCACACAAATTCCGAGCACAAGCAAGCGGTCACAAGACCAGTTCACATGCAGTTTGATAACATAACAAGAGGTACAGTGATCACAACCTAGCAAGTGTAAGCATGCAGGTATATATATAGAGATCACAGTACAAGCAGAGTCAAGAAGTGAGCAAGTGAGGGACAGTAGGCACAAGGCCTAGAACAGTACAGAAACGCTGATGATCACAAGGCTGAAGCGCCTTGGTGAACACATCAGCAGTGTTGGCCCGAGTGGCCACGTAAGCAAGACGAAGCTGACCACGGTGCTGCAGCTCTCGAGCAAGGAAGTAGCGCAGAGCGATGTGCCCCTCTCTCCACAGCAGCTGCGCCAGTGGTACGCTCGGCGCTGTAGCCGTGCTGCTGGAGCTGGGGGGCCTACCGCTGGAGGTGCTACTGGAGCTGGAGCTGCTGGAGGTACTGCTGGTGCTGGAGCTGCTGGAGGTGCTGGAGTCGCTGGTCCCGGAGGTGCTCGTACTGGAGGTACTGGAGCTGCTGGAGGTACTGCTGGTGCTGGAGCTACTGGAGGTGCTGGAGTCGCTGGTCCCGGAGGTGCTCGTACTGGAGGTACTGGAGCTGCTGGAGCTGGAGCTGCTGGAGCTGGAGCTGCTGGAGGTACTGCTGGTGCTGGAGCTGCTGGAGGTGCTGGAGCCACTGGTCCCGGAGGTGCTCGTACTGGAGGTAGTGGAGCTACTGGAGCTGGTGGTGATGCAGGAGTTGGAGCTGTTGCTGCTGGAGGTGCTGCTGGTGCTGGAGCTGGTGGTGCTGAGGGAGTTGGAGCTGGAGACCCTGGCGCTGGGGGTTCTGGTGCTGTCTCTGCTGGTTCAGGAGGCGCTGCGCGGTCGCGGCCGTACTTCGTTCCCCTCCTTCAGCAGGTTCTTGGTCTCCCGCCTTCTACTGGTCCTACTCCTCCGTTACTGTGTCCACAGCCTGTCCAGTCGCAGTCGCAGTTACAGCTAGCCTCTCCACTGCCTGGTCCTTCTCCTTACTCTGGGCCGACTAGGGGTCTTACGGAGCGTCGTGAGCCTGAGTCTTGTCCTGTGTCGCCTGAGTCTCGTCCTGAGTCGCCTGAGTCTCGTCCTGTGTCGCCTGTTCGCGCTGTTTGCACTGGTCGTCGTGTTCCGCGTCAGCGTCCTCCTGCTGTCCCCGGCTCCCACCAGATGGCACTTCGTCCTTCCACTGCTCCACAGCGTGTCCCTCTGCCGTCTCCTCCTGCGTCCTCTCTTCCTGACGTTGCTGACCCGCCGTCAGACCTTGCTCGTGCTGCCAGTCCTACTGTCACGCGTCTTCTCTCTACTGTTGTCACTGACCCTTCGTTTGAGTCCACTGCTGCGTCTGCCCTAGTTGCTGAGCTTGTTGACTTTGCTGCCACTTGTCGTCTATACTACGCTGCTAGTCTTGTTGCTGAGTCTGAGTCTGTCTGTCCTCCGTCCGTCGGGGGTGAGTGTGCTCTTGGCACGGACGTCCTTGAGGACAGGCAGGAGGACTTTGAGTGCTTTGCAGCTGCTGTACCTCATCTCGTGTCCATGCTGATTGCACCTGAGGGAGACCCGGATGCACCAGACATCCCGACCCCGCGCTCTTACGCAGAGGCGATTGAGGGTCCCTACTGCTCTCAGTGGCAGACAGCCATGGACGCAGAGATGGCATCCTGGAAGTCCACAGGCACTTACGTTGACGAGGTTCCCCCACCTGGGGCGAACATCGTCAGTGGCATGTGGATTTTCAGGGTGAAGCGGCCGCCGGGTTCTCCGCCTGTCTTCAAGGCGCGTTACGTTGCACGTGGCTTCAGTAAGCGACAGGGAGTTGACTTCTTCCAGACCTTCTCCCCCACCCCGAAGATGACCACTCTTCGGGTTCTGCTGCACGTCGCAGCTCAGCGTGACTACGAGCTTCACTCTCTTGACTTCAGCACTGCTTTCCTACAGGGCAGCCTGCACGAGGAGATCTGGCTGCGCCGCCCACCGGGCTTCACTGGGTCGTTTCCTGCTGGTACCCAGTGGAGCCTCCGGCGGCCAGTCTACGGTCTCCGCCAGGCGCCTCGTGAGTGGCACGACACACTGAGGACGACTCTTGCGGCTCTTGGGTTTGCACCTTCTACTGCTGACCCGTCGTTGTTTCTACGCACCGACACTTCTCTGCCGCCGTTCTACATCCTCGTGTACGTCGACGACTTGGTCTTTGCCACTGCTGAACCCGCTGGACTGGTCCACGTGAAGTCGGAGCTGCAGAAGAGACACACGTGCACAGACCTGGGTAAGCTGCGCAGCTATCTTGGCTTGCATATCACCCAGGACAGAGCACGGCGCACCATTACCTTGACTCAGTCACACATGGTGCAGCAGGTCCTTCAGCACTTCGGCTTCGAGTACTCCTCGCCACAGGCCACTCCTCTGCCTACCGGTCACTCGCTCTCAGCTCTGCCTTCGGATGAGTCCGTAGAGCCGAGTGGCCCGTATCCAGAGCTTGTGGGCTGCCCCATGTACCTGATGACCTGCACTCGACCTGAACTCGCTTACCCTCTTAGCATCCTGGCTCGCTACGTTGCGCCCGGGAGACACCGACCAGAGCACTGGAAGGCCGCTAAGAGGGTGATGCGCTACTTGTGCAATACATCGGGCATGGGGCTCGTGCTTGGAGGACGGGCTCGAGTTGTCCTCACTGGTCACGCAGACGCTTCTCGGGTTGACGACTTGGCTACGCAGCGGTCGTCACTGGGTTACACCTTCAGCCTTGGCTCCGGCTCTGTTTCGTGGCGGTCTACCCGCTCGTCTTCTGTTCTCAGCTCCAGTTGTGAGGCTGAGATCTACGCAGGGGCCATGGCTGCACAGGAGTTACGCTGGCTCACCTACCTGCTGACCGACTTGGGCGAGCCGCCTCGTTCTCCTCCAGTTCTGTACGTCGACAACAAGGCCATGATTGCCTTGTGTCAGGAGCACAGACTGGAGCACAGAACGAAGCACATCGCTCTGTGCTACTTCCTTGCTCGAGACTTGCAGTAGCGTGGTCAGCTTCGTCTTGCTTACGCGGCCACTCAGGCCAACACTGCTGATATCTTCACCAAGGCACTCCAGCCTTGTGATCATCGGCGTTTCTGTACTGTTCTAGGCCTTGTGCCTACTTGGCCTCACTTGCTCACTTCTTGACTTTGCTTGTACTGTGATCTCTATACATATACCTGCATGCTTATTCTTGCTAGGTTCTGATCACTGTACTGCTTGTTCTCCTTTATATAACTCTGCATGTGAACTGGCCTTGTGGCCATTTGCTTGTGCTCAGAATGCGTGGTGACGTCGTGATCCACCCTGAGCTTGCTTTGCTTTTCTTGACTGGTCTTGTGACCTCTTGTTCTCCCCCACTTTGTCTATGGGGGTGTGTCAAGCTTATATGACATAGTCTGTGTAGGCTGTAGTGGGGTAGACAATATGGGGTACAACACTTGTAGGTTTTCGTACTTGTACCCACCTGCTTGCTAATTCAATCATTCCTTCCTTCACATTTCTGATACAGTACAGGGAAGGAGGCAATTTGAGAAGAGGACAAGGGCAGGAAGAAGAGCTAAAGGAGCAGCAGAGAAGGGAGGGATAAGGAGAGAATAGCTAAAGAAGAGAGGACCAGAGGGATAAGAAAGAGGAAGAAGAAAGAAGAAGGGGGGGAGAGGGAATGGCCAGAATTCGACAGCCCTGGAGCAACTACTTCAACGACAATCAACACTGGAGCAAGGACTCCAGACATTGCGGAATGGCGATGCGGGAACCTCCTCTCAACCTACTCAACCGTTCGTAACTGACCGCAAAACCGTCTGCAAACCTTATCCATCGACAAAAATATATCAACACCAAAGGGCCCCTCGTCCAAGTGATGACGCCATACTCTCAGCTCAATAAAAAATTCTCAACATAGAAAGAATTAAATCAAGTACAGTTTTTTACGGTAAATACTTCTATACCCGGAGCTTTGAGCTGGAGCTGCTACAGCAAAAGGCGCAGATCTACCATTACTTCGACGGAAGCTACGCATGCCCAACGGCGGACACCGACGACTCTGGAGCGCAGTATTACGACGACCCGCTCATGTCGTACAGCGTTATACGACGCAATATGTCGACGACTGAGCGATTCGGCATTTGCTTGTTCAAGACGAATCCGGCTCAGGCATTATAGGCTTGGCGGTACCTCACGAAGCTGTACCAGCCGAAGGACTCATTGTCCTCGAGCAGACTCATCCTAAAACTCATGGAGTTGAAAATGGGGCCCGGGGAGAAAGCAAACTCGTACATCAACAGCTGCCGGAGCATACGCGATCAATTTGCGAAGCACGGGAGCACCATCTCCGAGGACGTTTTTGTCACTATCGTGCTCGCAGGGCTCGGACCTAAGGGTACATTCCGCTCAGGACATGTCACAAAAGAAAGTGTCACAAACGTATTTGTGACTAATTGTGACCTCTGAAATCATATTTGTGACTAATTGTGTAAGGCCGAAAATCACGAACAGCAAGTTTCCAACCATTCCTGTTAAGACATCTGGCTCGATCGTGACTGTTCTTGGTTCGAAGCATCACAATTTGTCACGATTGTTATATCAGTGTATCACAATTAGTCACGAACATTATTTTCGGAGTACCACGATTAGTCACAAATAATGTTTGTGACACTTTCTTTTGTGACATGTCCTGAGCGGAATGTACCCTAACTGGAGAAAACACGATACCATGCTATTGACGACATTGTGAATATACTGTACCCTGGGCACATCGATTGCGCGCAAGATCGTTCGGCTAGAATTTGAGAGGTGATGCGTCCTAACAAATCGAAGCCGTATCATCCATATGACTAAGACACATAGATAGAATGGTTCATTTGCAATGCACACAATTTTGTTATCTACTTCTAAGATTGTTATCTAAGACAACCACTGCATAAAGTTTCGCGTATGTTATTGCCATGGCAATCAAGGTGGACTGCTATGGAAGACGCACATTCGAATGTCGAACTTGACAGGCAGGGCCGAAGGTATTGGGCCGTGCAGGAGCGCGACTACAATCCACGACTGCGATGGGTTGTACTCCAAGACAGTGATACCCTCGTGTCAGACACGATTGCGCCCCAGATTCCCGCGTATAAAGCCACAATATTTGGTCCAGGTGTCCTCGTTCCTGGGGGCGTGGCACTTTCCGAAGTGATGTGGCAAATCAACGCTCATATTAACATTACTTTAGCGAATGAGCGCTCGCCTTACCCAGATGCTGGGTGCCACTGCCAACAGATCTATTTTGCTAAGCGGAGAAATCCACACCTGTCGGAATCGCACGAAAGAATTGGAGGCGATGCTGACTGTAACCACACCACACGCCTATGGAATCCGCCAGCAAGGCAATGTTTGAATCCCGCCGAGCCGATAGCTTTGCGTTGAGGTAAACCCCTAGCGTCAGACTCGCAAGAGGTGTGTGAGCCAAACGACCTTCCAAATGCCCAAGGTAAGCTCCAATTGGTCCATGCGTCACGTCAAGGCTAAGGCCGAGCCTCGCTGATTCTGTTTTTTCCCGCTTTTACCTCGTCTGGGAATCTTTTCCCTCCACAACCGCCACACAGCTGTGCGAGCGAGGCCAGTCTCGGCTCAGCTTCCGCAGACCACTTGCCCCAGCAGACACATGTGCCAATTGACCTCGGGATCTGGGGAGGCGCAACCCAAGTCACAGCCAAAAAGCGCAAGCGCTTCCCCTTCAGTGAACCTCCGACATCGAGCGCGAGAAACCTCGCGCACATGTCCGCTTCCGAGAGACTTCTGGAAGAAATCGAGCGGAGATGGGGCCAAATGGTCTCCCGATCCCGCCACATGTGACTCTCCGTCAAGTGCACCAATCCCGAGAGGCCTACCGTGAAGCGGGAGACGGCGATTGAGGGCATTGGCTGGCGGGGTAGAGCGGGTTGCCCAGCAACAGCAAACGGCTAGCGCGCGCCCTCGATTTCCACGACGGCCTCTATCTGCCCCACGCGGGGTGGTTTGTGGTGTAGTCCCTCCCCTTTCCGCATTGCACCGCAGTCTGCCCTGCTCCGCTCCCTCGTGTCAACCGGCACAGCGCCTGCGCGCACTGCGCTGGCTGGCTGCTCGCCCGGCTGACCGACTTCTCCGTTTTCCTCCACTCTAGTTGCATCAGATCAGAGCCGCGACCAGGGCAAGTCAGGAGGCGAGGGGGGAAAAGCGAAAGCGAAATGTTCTGCCTGGGTGCCTGACTGTGTACTGTGTTGTTCACCTCCTGGCGGTTGCATTGCCCCATTCTCCCTTTTCCTCCACCCTCCACCCTCTCCACCCTCCGTGGCAGGCCAGACCACACATTGCTTGCTCCATCCGACCGACCCATTCAAGAGCCCCTAGCAGCCTCATTTTGTTTCTTGGCCTTGCCAGTCGTGCTGGAAAGGCGCAAGATATACCAGCAGCGCCATTCGAGGCGGGCTGGTGTAGAGAGGAATATTCCGGTGTCTCTCTTGCCTAACTGGTTCCTTTGATTGTGACTGCCGCTTGACCTGTGATCACATCCCAGTGATAGGACCGACGATTCAAGTTCATATGCCGTCAAACCTTCTCCAATCCTCTCGCGAGGGTTTGGTAGAGATCGCGCATTTACATAGAGCGAACATCAGGGCGTGTTAACTCCAGAACACGCAAACCTTCTATCAGGAGCTTCGTCTCCTCGCACTCGCGCTTCCCAACATCCAGCCATCATTCAGGCGTCCCTTCTCGTCTTGGCTCGAGCCTACCGGACGCCATGTTAACTTCAGAAAGCATGCTGAGCCTCGGCCAACTGGCTCAGAGTGGAATGGATGTGTCTCAAACCGAGTGGGAGGTCTTCATGTGCTACAGAGCTCTGCGTGAGCTAAGCGGCCACTTCTACCACAGGCTACCCACACCGGTTAAGGTAACTTGCTCGTTCTTGTAGATCTGTTCGCCCGTGGCACATCCCTGTTCATGCCCGGTCAGATAGCGCATTAATCGCGGACCTCAAGCTTAGATCGCGTTTCTGTTGTCCTCGTAGGAAGAACTAGTACCGCCTTGTGCACTATCCCTAGTTGCATGCCCGTCAGTGTTTGTTGCGCTTTGATACGCGATCGATCTTTCGCTGCTGTCTTCTTAGGTAGATCTAGCTTCTTTTCAAGATGTTTTATTAGCGCCACCGTTGGTTGATATCGCAGGAGCTGCTTACTTTGACATCGTACCATTTCACCCAATCTTGCGATCCGCTAAACTGTCGAATAGGCTGCCGGCTGTTGTGCCTTGCACTTTATTTTGATTCCTTCTATTCTCGGTACACAGATGCCTCTATAGTCCTCTGTAGGTGCCTTCCTTCTCCTTTCCTCTCCCTAATAGATCCCCTTCCTGTATTTGATTCTTAACCGTCTGTGATCGCAGGACGAGCTGCGAGACGCGGGCCTGTGCCATTACATGGCGATAATCCGATCCCCAGAAGGCCAGCTGATCCAGTTCGACTTCGGACCCCGCGGCAAGGATGTGGAATGGCGGCCGGCCAGCAACAACAGCAGCAACAGCAACAGCAGCAGCAACAGCAGCAGTAGCAGCCTCCAGATCGCCGGGAACAGCAACACAGGAGGACTTCGCCGAGATCAGCTGCTGCAGTGCACGATGAGCTGCAGCAAGCCAACCCCCCCCACCATCTCCACTTCCTCCACTACCACCACCACCGCCACCACCACTGCTACTACCACCACCAACTGCAGTCGCAAGGAGGGATGCAGCAGCAGCAGCAGCAGCAGCACGATGGACCGGAGCGAGGGTCGCAGCAGCAGTAGCTGCGGCTGCTGTGATTCCGGCTCGTTTCGCCAGCAGGCGCAGCGGATGGGGCTGCAGGGTCTGGCGTGCAACGCGCTGCTGCAGCACGGCGGCGGGCACGGCAGCGGCATGGCGAGCCTCACGCTCCACCAGATGGACCTCGCGGACTGCGCCATTCCGCCGCCCAACGGCGAGATCCGCGAAGAGCTGGTACGCGCCGAGTCGATTCAAAGCTTTCGGAGGCTTGGAGGTTGCACGAGATGGAGTTTGAAGAAGTCGATCTTTCTTGGTTTTTCTATTGCTTGCATGTTTCTTCGTCTTGTCGTCTGAAAGTCTTGCTTGACTTGCGTTCGGTTCGTGCGTTCCCTGACTGCCCCGTGTTCGTCCGTTGTTGTTGTTGTTTCTCCTTCCCCCTCCGTTCTGTCAGATCGGAGCGTTGCCTGAAACCGCGGTGCGCGTGGGCGTGACGCGCATGTCCATCGCCGACATGCGCGCCTTCTACTCCTCGCTCGACTTCAACTACCTCCTCAACCGCAACGACTGCAGGTGGGAACTCCCTCTCCCATTACCTCCCTCACGCAGCAATCTTCGTGTAGCAGTCCAGGAGTGGAAACATATACGGTCTCGCAGGGAGCACCTGGTCGCAAATCAGATCCAGCAGTGGAATCGTTGGATGAAGTTGGTGCAGCTCAGTGTCCTCTTGTTCATTTGAAGATCCTTATTCTTTGTCATTTTTGTCGTCGTCTTGTGTGTTGCGACTCTCGCCACGGTTCCTTCAGGCATTTCGTCGACGCCTTCGTGCACTACACCACCGGCGTGGACCGCGCCTCCTCGCGCCTGATCCGCGCCAACATGAACCTGCGCATGCGCGCGCGCCCGTGGCAGCCCGTCGACCCCGTTATAATCATTTGCCAGCGCATCCTGGAGAAGGAGAACACCTACCGCGTTTTCACCGCCTGCCACGCCGCCTTCACCTCCCTCTCCTCCGCCGTTCTCCTCCGCGTGGGGATCCAATCCGGCCGCCTGCATCAGCGCTTGGCGCGCGTCGTGCAGTCTTCCGCCATGGTCGCTCTCCGCCGCGCGCTCCCCCAAGCTTCCGCCATAGGCGGCGGCGCAATCTTCCGCGCGGCCGGCGGGCCCTTGGGGATGCTTTCCGCCGCTATGGCCGCCGGCGCTGTGGCGGCGGCGGCGGCGGTGGCGGCTACCGGGATGCGCGTGCGCGGAATGGCGACCCGGCAGCTGAGGCAGCTCGTGGGGCTGCCGCACCGCCAACACTGGCAGAAACCAAAGCCTGTGCTTGCGCTGGCGCCTGCGCCAGCGCCGGCGCCGCTTCCCCAGGCGGCGGTTTCGTTGGCGGCAGTCGCGGCGGGGCCAGTGGGCGTGGGGGCGGTTCAGCAGCAGGTGGCTGTGGCGACAGTGGCGCCAGCGTCGGCCGCTGTCGCTGGTGCTGTGGCAAGTGGTGGTGCAACGACAACCGGTCTTGGAGGTGTCGTGATGAGAATAGAGGTGCCTGTGGTGGGGCCTTGCAGCGTGCCGACTGGAATAGCTCTGTCTCCTGTCTCTCCGAGGTCTCCCAACTCCCCTAAGGTGCCCCCGCAACAGCAGCCGGGGCAGCAGCAGCAGGGGCAGCAGGAGGTGCAGGCGTGCTCAGCACAACCACAGCAGCAGGCGCAGCAGCAGACGCAGCAGGGGCAGCAGTCGCAGCAGCAGCAGGTGAATGCTGCGACCTGGCCGTCGGGGACGCGACGAGCTCGCAAGGCGAAGGCAACAACAGAGCTGAAGGCGGAGAAGAAGACCAGGAAGGCTGCTCCGGCTGGCTCCAAGAGTACGTGATTCGCTCTTGCATGTTCTGATTGCACACCTCCACCTGTTTCTTGCATGTTTCTTCTGAGACAGGCGAGCAGATCAGTAGTTGTCACTCTTACCGAAATGCTGATCGCTTCCCCCCTTTTGTTGTGTCTCAGAAACCATCAAGTCAGGGACGAAGGCGTTGCGATCCGCAGTTTCGTCCAGCAGCAACAGCAGCAGCTGCAACAGTGGTCTCAGCAAGGGAGGCAACGGCAAGGGTGGCAGCAAGGCGTCAGAGGCTAAGGGTGGCCTGCCAGGACTGCTGGCGCACTTTTCCCCGCTCTCCTCGCTCCTAGTGTCCAAGGCAGCTGCTCTGGGCAATGGCTTGAAGACGTGCCTGGACAGCCGCCCGTTGCTGAACGATCCCCTGCAGCTGGCGGCTCTGCCATGAAGAAGAGCGTGATGAGGGGTTGAGGATGGTGATGAGGGGGTTGAGGAGGGTGATGACGGATCGCGTGTGCTGGATGCTACTGAGAGCAGGACTTGGGTTGTTGGGTTGTGTCAGTCGTCAGGTGGATTTAAGTGTGATACATGAACTGGTGGCTTGGTTGATTGAGGGTGGTTGAGGATGGTGTAAGAGTTGCACGGGTTGGTCTGTGTGATTCGCCCCTTCCCTTGCCTCCCCTTTTTCTGTTCTACCTTTTCTTTAGTGGTGCAGTTTCCTTTGTGAAGTGTAGGTTCATCTGGGGCCCACCTCATGCCACCATCAATCACCATCACGGTTCTCCACAGCATCACTGTTCTCATCACTTCCATTCATTGCATCACCATGTTGCTGCTGTGGCACAGCAGCCAAAGGACTGCAGCTTATTAGCAGTCCATGGCAACACGTGTAGCAGAGGTGGCACTTTGGTGGCACCAACTGCCACCACTTCTGACCTATCATCACCTCCCTCATGCCCTTCAGGCTTGCCATTCCCCAGCCATCATTTCATAAGCATCCCACCCCACTGTCCCAGTTATGAGCTTAGCCTCTACCCGTTTGCATCAGCATTGGGTTCTTGGGGGGGTAGCGTGTGTGGGGCCTTGAGATAAGCAAGTACTCACAGTGATGCCGTATTATACACAAGTAGGTATGGTCTTGCAGGTGTTGGACATATGATTCGTCAGTTTGCAAAATCAGTGTTAAATGTAGTTGTGCCTAGATATTACGAGGGAACCTATTCTCTCCTAATGATGTGAACGTTGACAGTGATTGAAAGTTGTGCACGTGCGAATACACCACACCCTTGCTTATACACACCTAGTTCCAGCAGTGCGCATCCGCAAATTCAGCCTGCCTTCGCTTAGCGAAGCCTCAGCTTCTGTGCAAAAGGATCGCAGCTTCGTTAAGTTCGCCAGAGACTCCTGTCATCACGTGAAGAGCTGACAGTTACCTGGTCCTCTGAGCGACAGCCAAAAAACACGATAGGGAAAATACCATTCTCTAAAGCAGTTCGCGAACCCAGATAGGGAAAATGCAACGAACATACCGTTTTCGTTTGGGTACCTCCCAATCCAACCCCTGCAGCGCGTCCAACATCCATCTGCAGCACCTGTTGCTCCTCCTCTTTCATTTCCTTCTCGCCATACATTCCCAGGCTTTACCTCCAGTCACTCGCTCTACCCTCACCCCTTTTAGCAACCCTGTACAGCTCAATTCCGGCTCTTCTCGTGCACGCTGTCTCGTCCGTGCCGGCTTGTCGTTAGGTCGTCGCCGTCGTCGCCGTTGTCGTCGTTGTGTCATCGTCATTATCGTCGTCGCCACATCCTCTGACTATACACGATGCCTAAATGTCCGAATAACCGGTCTGGGGGGAAGAGACGGTGCAAGATTCAGAAGCGGGCAGCGCGGACGGCGTTCCTCAAGAAAGATATCCTCCCTTAAACGCTGGCTGACTGACCCCCCGTTTGTTTTGAGCCGCCTAAGAACTCGTCTCTTCCGTTTCCTTTTGCTGCTCTTTCTCTTTTCACGCGTTTTCACGCGCGCCTTGCGTGAATCCTCACATTTTCTTCTCCATTCCCGGTTCGCCTTAACCTATTTCCTCCGTGACTCCTTCGTCCTCTTCCCCTCCTTCCTTTCCTCCCATTCTCAATCCTCCCCCTCCTTCCTCTCCTCCCACCCATTCCCGCCTCCTTCGGTTCTCTTTCCAACTCCCAATCCATCTTAAACCCGAATCCTTCCCATAAACCCCTTCCCCGTTCCTCTCGCCGTTTTTTCCAACGATTCGCCTAATCCACCTGACGACCAAGTGTTCGACGATTTGCAGCGGCAGGCGATAGCGCAAGAGACGGGGCTGGACGTGCCCAAGCCGCCCGTCGACGAGGACCTGCCGGGCATGGGGCAGTTCCGCTGCACCATCTGCGAGTAGGTCTCCCATCTGCGAGTAGGTCTCCTCAGATTTGCGTCTAGTGCGTGTGAATGTTTCGGTTTTTCCTGAGGGATTGACTTGGAATTGCCAAGCCGCTCGTCGACGAGGACCTACCGGGCATGGGGCACTTCCGCTGCACCATCTGCGAGTAGGTCTCCTCGGGTTTTATTATTCGGTGTTAATTTTCTTGAGATTTTCTTTAATTTTTGCAAAGAGCGGTATTTGACGAGCCTAAGCCGACGGCAGGCTAGGACCTGCCGGGACGGGGCAGTTCTGATGCGTCATCTGCGAGTCAGTCTCCCAAGTTTCGGGGCTGGTGATGTGATGGCTTGGTGTTGGATGAGAGGGGTTCAGGGTTTCGGGTTTTGTTTTTCCTTCGCGTAGATTCACTACAGTGCGCTGGAGGGTCGGAATTCGACAATTTTAGGTCGTGGTTCGGAATTCAAGTCGACACCTAGATTTATCCAATGAGTCGTCCTTGTTAATCTAGCCCTTCGGTTGCTCTTGATATGTTAATGCACACCGCGATATGTTTTTTTGTGCCACTTCATTCCTGTTCCTGCTCAGTCCCTTCAAAACCTAACACCCCTTCCTCCTCTACCGCCCTCCCCGCCCTCCCTTCCCTTCTTCCTCCACGCCCCTCCTCCCCATTCCCCTCCCCCCCATTCCCCTCCCTGCTGATTTCATTAATTTCAGTCGGTATTTTGCGTCGGCAGCAATTCAAGCGGAGCATAACAAGTCCAAGTTCCATAGACGAAGGTGCGGTGGGGAGGGCTATGAACTCATAGAAGAGAGGGACTGTGGGGACGGATGGTCGGAGGGAGGCGCGGAGGAAGTGAGGGAGGGAGGGATAAACGTAGAGAAAGAGAGAGATAGGAAGGATGAAGGGAGGAAAGAAGAAGAGAGAAAGAGAGTAAGGGAGGGAAGGAGGGAGGGAGGAAAGGGGGGAGGAAAGAGGAAAACGGGAGAAAGTGAGAAAGGGAGGGAAGGAGGGAGGGAGGAAAGGGGGGAGGAAAGAGGAAGAAGGGAGTAAGTGAGAAAGAGGGAGGGAGGAAAGGGGGGAGTAAAGAGGAAGAAGGGAGGAAGTGAGAAAGGGAGGGATGGAGGGGGAGGAGGGAGGGAGGGAGGAAAAAAGGTAGAGAGGAAGATAGGAAGGGATGAAGGGAGGAAAGAGGAAGAAGGGAGGGAGGGAGGGAGGGAGGGAGGGAGGGAGGGAGGGAGGGAGGGGAGGGAGGGAGGGAGGGAGGGAGGGAGGGAGGGAGGGAGGGAGGGAGGGAGGGAGGGGAGGGAGGGAGGGAGGGAAGGACTTGAGAGGGTGAGAAGATGTTTGGCATCATGGAGTAATTACTGAACGAGTAGTGGTGGTGACATGTGCAGTGCACAGCAGTATGAGGGTGACGTGCGAGAGGGTAACGGGGCTGGAGGGCCCTTTTACATGCCTGCGTGCATGTGGCGCTGTTGTCACTCGCACATGGGAGACTGCTTGTCACTCCCGCTTCTCACGAGGTCTCCCTGTCTCCATGCCTGGCGGAACTTTTAGCATGCATGCTTGCCATGCTGCACTTATCCCATCCCCCGTGGCAGTGACATGCCGCATCGCGTGAGCATGTCCTTGCTGTTTGACTGCCAAGAGAGTGCACTTCATGTCTTTTGAGGCGCCTCAAAAGTGCACTTTATGTGCCTCGAATCTGCCTCAATGTTTTTTCACCCTGCTTCTGTGGGTCCAAGGAGTTTCCCAACGTCGTTTTGTGCTTCAGAGGTGACTATCTACTGGATTCTTTACACCATGCCTACTTTCTCCCTCTCTTCTTCTCTTTCTCTCCCTCTCTTCTCACCCCTCCCCCTCCCTCTCCCTCCCTCTCCCTCCCTCTCCCTCCGCCTCTCCCTCTGCATCCTTCTGAGTGTGCAGGACAAAGGAGTTTGTCAAGGGAGTGAAGCCTCATAACCACTTTTAAGGCGCCTTAATGAGTACTTGCCCTCCTCCCCTCTGCCTCTGGGTGTGCAGGACGAGGGAGTTTGCCAAGGGAGTGAAGCCGCATAACCAGGAGGATGCAGAGCTAGCAGCAGGCATGGGGAAGAATGACAACGGGCCTCGTTTGAGATCAGCAGCAGCAACAGCACAACAACCGGCTGCCATGATGCAATGAGGCTAGCACAGCAGTACGGTGGTTGGTTTTGTCCACGACCATCACACTGTATACTCTACCCGCCTGTTTCCATTCCACCTTTTGTTTTTTCCTGGTTGTTTCTTCTCTGTTCCTTGGAAAATAAGGACTGGTGTATCAGGCCCTTGTATGTAGATTGTTGAAGTGAATACTCTGCTGTGCCACCCACAACCAAAGAATATATATTCCTCTTCAAATGAAACTCAGCAACTGTACATACATGCCGGTATTGCCTCACCCCTCAATCCCCACCCCTCACATTCTGTGAACAACCACAAACGAAGTGAGACTTTTTGAGAAACGGTGGGAGTGAAGTGAACTGCAGCAGCAGCAGCAGCAGCAGCAGGCTGCAGCACGCATTTCCCCTCGCTCACATTCCTTTCAGAGGCCATGACCCCCCCCCCCCCCCCCCCCCCCCCCAACAGCAAGACGATTTTCTAGGCGCCTGAAACATACGTCTCGCTTCACGTTCCCTGCAGTGGCCATGTATCCCCAAACACATCTGGTCTGGCTGCCTGTGCTCATTCAAATCTGAAACGTCTCCAGCCAACATCTCCCTTCCCTCAAGCTCCCCGCGGCGGCTGCATCCTCAGTTCACGCTCCTTGCAGTGGCCACGTCTCCCCAAACACATCTGGCTGCCTGTGTGGGTCTTGAGAGTCTCACACATGACCCCTCACATTCGTTGGAAAGGCCACGTCCCCCCAAACACACATCCAGCTTCCGCCTCTCACTTCACGCTCCTTGCAGTGGCCACGTTTCCCCAAACACATCTGGCTGCCTGTGTGGCACGTCCCACCTCCACGGGTGCTGCCTGGGAGCTGGGGGAGAGGAAAGGGGAGATGGGAGAGGAAGAGAGGGGAGAGTGGAGAGGCTG